TAGATTGTTTCAATAATTTTACCCAAAGTAAAATAAGTATATATATTTAGACACAACCATATGCATATTTTGATTGTTTTTATGCTTGGGATTGCCTTATTCTCTACCAAAAGTTTTATACATTAATACGCTGCATCACATGGTACTAAAGCATAAATATTTAAGCTTTCTCCGGAGGCGAAACTATAATGATATTTTTTATTGTATTTATGATTCCATTTTTATGTAATGTGTCACTGCTTGAACGTTCGTTTACTCGTATAAACGCATGAGCATCGCCGCGTTTACACATGTCGGTGCCCAAGGCATTTTCTTATTGCGGTACCCCATGACGCATTGTTATATCCTTTTAGCATGGATCGCGGGGCACATGGCATATTTGCCACTGTGCGATATCGGCAATGGGCATAAGACGATAAGTTTGTTCACGCTGTACAACTAATGATAAACATTATTTTCTATTTAGAAATGGCCGAAAAAGTAGCACAAAATGGTAAAACGATAAGTAACATTTTTTGCAAAGTTTCTTAGTTTTCTGCATTAAGTGAAAAGAAATATTTCAACTTGTCTTTATGGCAAAGTGTACAATGTTCAACAATAGTTGATTCAATTCTATTACATCACCATCAACCTTACTTAAACGTGCTTATGCTAAAGAATAGTCGCAAAAGAATTGTGTTTATTAACATGCATGTTATTCAATCAGTTTAATGTGTGTTCTTTGTTCCAGATACTCAAAACAAACGAGAGGGGGTAAAGGTGAGCCAGTTCTTCGGAATAGATATAAAATTTCAAAATGTTAATAGCTAAATACATTTGCATAAAGATGACTCAAACCTACAAAAATATCTCTTTTTTTATGAATCGTCTTAATCAGAAGAAGAAAATCGAAAGAAGCGAAAAGGTTTGTTGCATAATTTGTACAATATATCGACTAAGAGTGTTTTTTGTACTTGTGCTTAACATAGTACTTATACATGTATGATAATTGAATATCTTTATGATCGTTTTTCATGTTAAGCGAACGCCAATGAATATAGTATAAAAAGCTGTTCCGCAACACTGTAAAATTCACTATCGCTTTTTATAACAACCATCTAAATGCATGGTTGAGAACAGGTTTCCAATTCTAATACATGTTTTTTTGTATTTTGTTGGGCATGGAAAATCTCTAACGTCTTTATCGTTCGCAACTTTTTAGCAGACGTCGAAAACAAGCAAGAAGAAATAAGTGAGTTTAAACTAATGACACACTTGTTCGCACAAATTATATGTTGATTTTATTACTTTATTATTTCAGAATGTAACACATGCAATGACGTGGGGCACGCCCCCGAAGATTGCCCAACCAAACCGCGTCGAGGGAGGCGGGGTGCCAGGAGAGGCCGCGGCGGACGGCGTGGTCGTCCCCAATGGCGAGGTCGCGGAATTTGGCGTGGAAGGGGGCGTGGCCAAGGGCGTGGAAGCGGGCGTGGCCAAGGGCGTGGAAGCGGGCGTGGCCAAGTTGTTATCAATATATTTACAAGGTAGAACGATTTTCATTAAACATATATCAAACAAAAAAGATTAAAAATTTACTTCATCAATTAAGTAGTGAAGCTTTTTAAACTATATTCGCACAGAATAAAAAGAAAACATTCTGATTCGGACTCTATTCGATCAATCAAAAACAAAACTTATTTCAAAACAATGCAAAAAATAAATATGATTTTCTTTTGTTATCTCACATTGTTCTTACCATCTTTTGCAGGGACTAAGGAGGTTAGAAAGTCTTAACGAAAGAGGAAAAAAAAAGTTTAAAAAAATCGCCAAAAAAAATAAAAATTTTTGAAAACGTATCTTTCCTGTGTCCAATCATTATTACAAACAGCTATTCATTATCAATCAATTAAATTCGCCCGGATGGAGGGCAAATTCAGGTCCCCGTTGTATTGCGACCTTGTTTCGTGAAGCACTAAAAAAGTATACACGAAGAAGCCCAAACCATTGTGCCATCTGACATCCAGCTTTTGTTTGGCTCGTTCTTTAATAAACTGCATGTAAGTTTTTAAGTTCTTAAGGAAATTTATTAACTAAAACGTTAAAAAATGTTTTTTACGAGCTGTTATTGTAATTACATGTTGTTTATAAGCTATATGATATGTCCATTCAAAGAAACAACAAACAAAACATTTTTCTTCCTAATTGTAATCCTCAGAACAAGTTCTTTAAGACGATACTAAACACAAGTAAATTGTAGCGTGTTAACTTCATCAAAATTAGATATATATAAACATGTCAGTTAAGTACCGCGAATATTAATTAACGCAAAAATGCTCTACCTTTCCAAAGCTGTAGATTCGCTCCTGGAATTTCGGCCACAATAATAAAGACATATTTGTAATCCTCAGAACAAGATCTTTCAGACGATACTAAACACAAGTAAATTGTAGCGTGTTAACTTCATCAAAATTAGATATATATAAACATGTCAGTTAAGTACCGCGAATATTAATTAACGCAAAATGCTCTACCTTTCCAAAGCTGTAGATTCGCTCCTGGAATTTCGGCCACAATAATAAAGACATATTTGTAATCCTCAGAACAAGATCTTTAAGACGATACTAAACACAAGTAAATTGTAGCGTGTTAACGTCATCAAAATTAGATATATATAAACATGTCAGTTAAGTACCGCGAATATTAATTAACGCAAAAATGCTCGACCTTTCCAAAGCTGTAGATTCGCTCCTGGATTTTCGGCCACAAAAATAAAGACATATTTGTAATCCTCAGAACAAGATCTTTAAGACGATACTAAACACAAGTAAATTGTAGCGTGTTAACTTCATCAAAATTAGATATATATAAACATGTCAGTTAAGTACCGCGAATATTAATTAACGCAAAAAGTCTCCACATTTCTCAAGCTGTAGATTCACTCCTGGAATTTCGGCCACAATAATAAAGATATATTTGTAATCCTCATAGCAAGATCTTTAATCTGATACCAAATACGAGTATATTGCAGCGTGTTAACTATTTCAAAACCCGGCATATTTAGACGTTAGTGAAATAATGCAACATGACAACTTGCCTATTAATTAACGCAAAAATGCTCTACCTTTCCAAAGCTGTAGATTCGCTCCTGGAAATTCGGCCACAATAATAAAGACATATTTGTAATCCTCAGAACAAGATCTTTCAGACAATACTAAACACAAGTAAATTGTAGCGTGTTAACTTCATCAAAATTAGATATATATAAACATGTCAGTTAAGTACCGCGAATATTAACTAACGCAAAAATGCTCGACCTTTCCAAAGCTGTAGATTCGCTCCTGGAATTTCGGCCACAATAATAAAGACATATTTGTAATCCTCAGAACAAGATCTTTAAGACGATACTAAACACAAGTAAATTGCAGCGTGTTAACGTCATCAAAATTAGATATATATAAACATGTCAGTTAAGTACCGCGAATATTAATTAACGCAAAAATGCTCGACCTTTCCAAAGCTGTAGATTCGCTCCTGGAATTTCGGCCACAATAATAAAGACATATTTGTAATCCTCAGAACAAGATCTTTCAGACGATACTAAACACAAGTAAATTGTAGCGTGTTAACGTCATCAAAATTAGATATATATAAACATGTCAGTTAAGTACCGCGAATATTAACTAACGCAAAAATGCTCGACCTTTCCAAAGCTGTAGATTCGCTCCTGGAATTTCGGCCACAATAATAAAGACATATTTGTAATCCTCAGAACAAGATCTTTCAGACGATACTAAACACAAGTAAATTGTAGCGTGTTAACTTCATCAAAATTAGATATATATAAACATGTCAGTTAAGTACCGCGAATATTAATTAACGCAAAAAGTCTCCACATTTCTCAAGCTGTAGATTCACTCCTGGAATTTCGGCCACAATAATAAAGATATATTTGTAATCCTCATAGCAAGATCTTTAATCTGATACCAAATACGAGTATATTGCAGCGTGTTAACTATTTCAAAACCCGGCATATTTAGACGTTAGTGAAATAATGCAACATGACAACTTGCCTATTAATTAACGCAAAAAGTCTCCACATTTCTCAAGCTGTAGATTCGCTCCTGGATTTTCGGCCACAAAAATAAAGACATATTTGTAATCCTCAGAACAAGATCTTTAAGACGATACTAAACACAAGTAAATTGTAGCGTGTTAACTTCATCAAAATTAGATATATATAAACATGTCAGTTAAGTACCGCGAATATTAATTAACGCAAAAAGTCTCCACATTTCTCAAGCTGTAGATTCACTCCTGGAATTTCGGCCACAATAATAAAGATATATTTGTAATCCTCATAGCAAGATCTTTAATCTGATACCAAATACGAGTATATTGCAGCGTGTTAACTATTTCAAAACCCGGCATATTTAGACGTTAGTGAAATAATGCAACATGACAACTTGCCTATTAATTAACGCAAAAATGCTCTACCTTTCCAAAGCTGTAGATTCGCTCCTGGAATTTCGGCCACAATAATAAAGACATATTTGTAATCCTCATAGCAAGATCTTTAATCTGATACCAAATACGAGTATATTGCAGCGTGTTTACCGTATAAAAACCGTACTATCTTGAATCCTGTGGTACCTTCACAGTCCACTTTGCATGGCTGTAGATTCGCTCCACGAATTTGAGCCACAAAAGTAAAGATATATTTGAAATCCTCAGAAAACGTACTTTCGGATGTTACCAAACACAAGTATTTTCCAGCGTGTTTATTTCTTGAAAATTAGGCCTTTTTAGATGTCAACATTTATGCATTGTAAACATCGCGCAATTATTTAACGTAAAGAGACAAAAGCGGAAGTAGTCTTTAAAGGCTGTAGATTTGCTCCAAGACTTTCGACCAAAATAAAAATAGTATAATCCTTGTCTAAATAACTTGGTCTTTACAACGGCACCAAACACGTGTGCATCTTTTGCTTTTTTGTAGCAAAAAATACGGTTTTTTTCTATTTTGTTTCTGAAACTGATGTTATTTAATAATATTAAAATGAATGTGGTGTCAACTTCACACTTTATGCTAATTTTGAATGTTGTGGTGAATCCTGTGGTGAATGTGAGGATGAATGTGAGGATGAATGTGAGGATGAATGTCAGGATGAATCCTGTGGTACCTTCACAGTAGTCTGTACGATACTGCTCGAAAGAACCTATAAATTTCAAAAAGTAAACATAGACGCAGGCGCACAAAATAATATTTTTAGAATTTTCACAAAGAAAAAGGCTTACTCCTCTCTGGTCTTTTGACCATCTCGAAAAACGGTCGCATAACTGCGATGACCTTTGGTCTTTAAACCTAACGAAGCTGCTTGAAGAACAAATTCGTTCAGGCAAACTTCGTTAAAGCCAGGGTGATCCAAAATGCATTTTCTTTCATCGACTTCGAACTGATTCATTTTGCCACGGCATTGCTCTAATTCCATGCAGCATCGGCACTCTTGAGGGTTGACAACAAGATCCAACGAACAATGGCCACATTCACACCTTTAATATTGGCCAAATTGTATGTTTCCATAAAGTTATCATAGCTAACGGCAGACGATTCAGATCAAAGTAACACACTAAGAATGACATCTTACCATGAAGTAACATCAACACGGGCATCAAAACGATCTTGCAGCATGTCCTCAACCTGCCGTTCTTCTGCGACTGCAGCTTCGTACTCAGCAATTTCATCGGGCGAAGCAAGCGGTTCAATATTATCGGCAAATGGCAAAATTTCCGAATTAGATTCGTCCGAATTTGCCGTCATGAATTCCGATGAAGAAATTGATGCGTTTGTCTCGATCAAAGACTCAGAAAGCGAGCTAGATCTCGATGAATTTGACATTTTTTTGCTCTGTTTATATATTACTTTGTATACTTTCCAATGTGCGCTTCTTGCCGTGTTAAGACTATGACGTCACAGACCTTTGCTGATTGCAAATATTCAAAATGGCCGATTTTTATGGCGGACATGAAAATTAGACATTTCAAATGTTCATAACTCCCTCGTTATACTATTATATTTGCTTAAATTTTACTAAAGCAATAATTGATATGTGTTTAAACTATTGAATGCTAAAATCGATGATTTTTTAACGTTCAGTTTTCGTTTTAGTACCACTTTAAAGTTTTGATCGATTAAGAATTTTTGTCCCCATTTACCTCATTTTGGCTAAAACTTTTATTTTACATGACGTGCAAAAATCGACATAAAAGATCAGCTTTTGACATCAAAAGTAAATTCGAAATGAACTTATTGTTGACGGGATGTTTCAGGACACGATGGAGGATAAATAAGTGGGCTCAATTTAGCATCTTACGTTTTAATACAGGCCATTTTATACACAAGTGTAAGAGAATCACATGGAATGATTAATTAGTAGTTATATAGTAATACAGAAAGTTATAGATCATACTTCAACTTTTGTATAATGTCAAGAAAATTGATATTGTAAAATTTCGGGATTTCACCTTGTACATGCACATCGCCATAATGACCTTATATTTTTAACTCACGGATACTCCGTACGAGGATCTGGAGTTCTTTGCCAACAGTCTAGAACTAGCAGCTTTCTTTGCGCGCTCCGTAAATGGAGTCCCGGTTTTTTAATGAGAATTGAAAAAAAAAAAAATTTTCGTGTAGTGAATCTGGTTTCTGAGTAGTTCTGTTTCGTTATTTTTCACATGAGAAACTATAATTTTTAACGTACGTGGTATTTGATTTGCCCGAATTTACCCAAATTAAAGTAAGCACATGCCATCTCACATGTCAAATGTCAACATAGTTGGTTATATACTGCTATTATTATTATTCAAAGTTTATGTTGTTCCCCCCGTAATCAAGAAGAATGGAAACAATAAGTAACAGCAATAACACCTTCTTGCTTTACATCTAAAATAATATTAATTCTTTGTGTATCCGTGCTTTGTCTCATTGAGACATTAAAGTGGCTTTTCTAGTGGCGGATATAAACCAAAGTTAAGAAGTCCTTATGGCAAAAAGAGTACTTGACTAGAGAAAAGTCTTTGTTGAGTCTTTGCTCACAAAGAAAACTTATTTATCATAAGTAATACATAATTTAGAATATTCAGTTGCCAGTCTACAAATAACAGCATCTGCAAAGAAATTTCAGTCGAAGCGGGATAAGGCAAGAAGAAGTATCTACGAAAGGGTTTCCATGATAGCATTCACAAAGTCGTCCTTATAAGGTAAACTTGTGTCATTCTTTGGTCTACAGTGGAAAATTGTGGTCTTTACTCCTGAATGAGTTATGGTTGGTCATGTTTTTACCTAGAAAACGTGAAAGAATATAGAGCATCTCTCAATTAATTTTAAAGATTCCACATTTGTTTAGTCGATTTCCTTTAGAATTATCTAGCTACTCATTTTATACGACTTCAATTTTAATATAAATTCAAACTTCTTATTTTAACAGCGTAAACATGCACTTCAAAAGCTTGATCATCTTTTTGGCATTCTCCATAACCTTGGCATTTGCAGGTACGTTGCTAAAAATAAAAAGACTATTCTTTTATGTCCCGCTTTACAGAATCGATCTTGAAGAAAAGTCATATGGTTATACGGTCGTGCAAATCTACTGCATTTCTTAACGAATAGCTTCAGATTAAAGTACTTAAAAAAATTAAAGTGCAAGAATTTTTTCTTTATTTCTTAAATGTTGATGATAGACATTGGCTTTATATATATGATAGTTTTTGCCATACAACACAAATTTCCATTTGAGATTTTAATGAAACCAAACCTGAATTTGATATAAGTCGTTGACGCGATTGAATTCGACTGCATAAAGGAAAGTTATTGGTGGGCATTTATAGAAAATTATCTTATTAGTATAAAACACTCGTTTAATAGGATGGAAACAAGTTACTCCAAGAATTTGCGTTGGTGCCAGGAACAATAATTTTCGGTCTATTACATTCAGGGGACGTTCATTCATCATTGCAATGAAATTGACACATCTTAGTGGTAGAATTGGATGTCGTTCGAATTCCGGAACGAACTGGGGTTGTAGATATGGTGATAACAGAAGAACACTCAACATGATTGTCACAGGTGGAAAAAATATTAAAATTCTTTAGCAATCAGCGCATTAAGTCAACTATAGACATGCAAATTTTTACTGCAATAAGTAGTTACACTATTTATTGTTACGTATTGTATAAGTAGTTACGTACCGTAAGGTACGCTTGCAAAATATGCATAATATACCAGAAAAGCGACAGCTGATACTCCCTATAAGAATTCGCCCTTACCAAGATGTATGTTTCATGATATATTGGAGGGGTCACCAACGGTGATACGAAGAAAAGTTGGCTGATATAATAACTTGATAAGGTTTTACTGTATGTCTAGAGTAAAAAGTTCATCTACAGAAAGCTTTACATGGTAGTTTTACTTGGTTGCAAAAAAACAAAATGTCTCGCCATAATCAATCAATCAACGCATTTAACGTGTTTAAATTTGATTATCTTCAGACAATAGGAATAAACGCATTTTCCCATCACCTCTTTTGGTTCAAACTGTCAGAGGTAACTGGTACGAAATGCCTGGATACAACGAGAATTCCCGTTTACTCGTCTTCGCTCTTCCTGGTTATCAATATATGTATTATGGTCAGGTATTTAGGTTCTGGTACGGAGAAGATCTTTCAGGTCATACCGAAGGCGACAATCATGGACACACTTGTATGAAAGTGGAAGTTTTTACTAAATAGGGCTTTGGATTTTTTTTCTTCTGAATTTTTCATTTTCTAGTGATGACTTTGTAATAAATTCATTAGCATTTAAAAAGACGAAAATAAATTTCTTTTATTTTTTCTGATTTTGGTCGACGGCTGTAGTTGACGCAGTTATTCGGGATACCGAAAGTCACGGCATGTTACACAGAGCTAGAGTAATCCCAGCAGTCTACCGAGCAGGTGATCCTTAATTACCCTAGTCATGTTGTGAGATTACACAGGTGACCCGTGATTATGAGAAAATCCTTGAACCAATCAATGTCGATATATCGATTAACGCATTTAGTAATAGAACATTATAGTCAACTTGCTACTATTTGCTGGTTGCCATTAATTTGGCCGCGCAACTAAGACTGGTACCGATTTTACAGTGGGACCTTAAGCTCTATAATACACCGGAAGGGCTATATAAACTGGGGCGATGTTGTCAAAAACATTGATGTCAATTGGCCTATTTCCCCTAAAATGTTCGCTTTGCAGAACAAAATTACTCTCGTCCTCCCCCTTATGTCTATAGTAAATTATATATGATTTTTTAAAAACAAACGCGATATATTTTTGGCATTTCTTTTATGGATGTCGCGATGTGCACAAAATGAAACATCTCGCTTTCGCAGGTGAGAAAAAAAGTCTCCCGCTTAGTGGATATATAACATGAAGAAATGCCCCATACAGTAATCATAAAATGGAGAAGAAGTTGTTCTGATTTACTTACAGACAACATGAAGGAATGATCAGGTAGCAAAGTGTTTCTGGAATATGATGCAGTATCAACACTATTTCAAGAGTTGTTTGATAATGTCTAATTTTATGGACACAATTGATTTACTAAGGAATCCTTGAATGATTTGAAAGTTAAGTAAAGGTGCAAAAGAAAGATGGCAAGGCAAGTTAGTTGTGTCTGCTGGGATGCTTAATGCAATGTCACTTAACAAAACTGTAAAATGGTCATTAAGTTTGTGTTTATGTAGATATTAATACTGAGACTGATTATTGATGACGCACTTTCTTATAACTAAATGGTAAAATCATGTCATATATTTCTGTAGAGTGTTGTTTCAATGTTAATAATATCCAGGGCATGCTATATTGAAGTATTTAAGATTCAGTGGTGAAAACGTAAAAGTTGTAGTACTATATAGTTCTTCTTAATTTCAGTTATTTCCCTCAAAAAAACATTTTCACCTTTTTGCTTATTAGAATGGACATGTGCCATTTGCTTCATTTCCTGCTTTTTTAAAAACTGGAAAATTTTTTGACTTTTCCAAGTGTTTCTTCAATTTTTTGATCAAGTCTGTTCATGATATGGATGAGATACAGGTAGTACAATTTATTAACTTCTGAAAAGCATTTAAGCCTCTAGCATAAATGTATAAAAACTCTTTTGTTTCTTTTTGCCAAACTTTCATATGTCTGTCTAGTCTACATGTACTACATCATTTTTGTATGAACAACTCCGTATGTTGAATACAAAAAGGGAAAAAATCGAAAAGCAAATGGGTCTTATAAAAGGTTAATATTGGTATATGAGATTTATTATTGAAGTGAAAACTGTATTAATGATTCAAATTGTGCACTTCGTCATTAGAAAAACCATAAATAGAGAAAAAGGAGAGTAGAAATATTAAAAACACAATTTTGTATTAGTAGTAGAGAGACTACCGGTTCTTGCGCAACCCCGGTCTTGGAGGCTGCGTACTTAAATCTGAGCGCGCCCGCCCTAGTTCTTCACAGTACTTCCTACTGTGAATACATGGGTCCCGAAAAAAAAAATCGCACCGGCTCAGGCACACTTCACTGTTTGAGAAGGAGTACACACCAATCTAAGCGCCCCAGCCCTAGTTCGCGTACGAGGTTCACATAAGTAAGCACATAGTAAGCACAAAAATCACAAGACAGCGAAGACCAATCCCCAGACAACAAAAATGAAAATTCACTGGCAAGCTTTGCATTTGACTACGCAAAGGACATGGTTACATTGGTCAAAACAGAAAGCAATAATAAAAGTATCAGTCCTCAGTGGCGGATCCAGATTACGTCAAAATAAATTACTACAGCACATTTTGGCGTATATTTACGTTTCGAAACACCTATAGACTAATCCATTGGTGAAAATATATATTCTTTAGAATTTAAAAACCCAAAGTGTTTTTCTGAATGTAATTTGAGTTTAAAATTGAGGAGCTATAATTAGAAAATTGAATGTGACTTATCTGAAGTCAAAGTTTGAAATTCTATGAGTTACTGTTCAGGAACTAGGAAGTCATTGGAGATACAGCGCGTGATATCAAGATTAGTTTTTAAAAAATTTGCATGCGCAAAGAAGAATACTTTTGAAGAACACGGTACTTACAAAATAAAGAGCAAACACAACATACTCTATACGCTATTTGTTGGCATGCAATGTTTCGTTGTTCAAACAAAATCTTTTTATCAGCCATATTGACAAGGGCGTATAATAATCATGCACATACAAGAACCATTTAAAAAACGAAGAAACTTATCACATCCGTGTAGCAATATTTCAATCCTTAAATTTATTTCAAGTTCTTAGAAATCTGCGATAAAGTTTATTTTAAGGCAGAATTATTTCTGCATACACCTAAAACGATTTTAGCTCGCCATTTTTTCATTGGGAAATCAACAATACACTTATAAATGCTTTATCCACTTGCTAAACAAACCTAAAAATTGCATTTCATGAACAAAATAAGGCTATGCTCTATTTCTTTGCATCATTTATGGCTGTTTCAAACTTTAAAAGACTGTGTTATTACTGAGCATATTTTGCGATACTTCCTGCCTTATGTATATAGTTCAACTTGTATCCCATTCGGCGATGCGCAACGATGGCTAAGAATGCTAACACGAAGGTTTGATATAACTGCTCTATTTATAACACTAACCACCTTAATTGAAGTTTGTTGGTTTACCAAATTTTAGCAAATATTATTAAAAAAGTACGTTTTTCCTTAGATATGAATTGTAAAACGGACGAGGATTGCTTTAACAATGGACATTGTGTTCGTGGAACGGGCACCTGCAGTTCAGATTACACTGGAGTCTTTTGTGAAGGTAAATTGATGTAAATATCATCTGAAGTAATGAATTAAAAAGTGCTGAAGGTCGGTTCACTTTATAAAAATGAGGCTTCCTCGCAGAATGGAAAATAATCAGACAGACACCACTTTCAATTGTAGTCGCACAGAAAAATGCTGGAGACGGGCAGTGTTTTGCAATGTTATTTTAAAGTTTTCGCTATGTTTTCGAGCTGTATGAAGAGAAAATTTTAGCCCGTACACTAAAAGCTCACTCACACTCATTGAATGCGACATACAATTCACATAATCATTGACAAAGTCATTTCTTCATCTCTGGCAAGATATTCTCCCTGGATCTTTTAAATCAAGCAATTAGTTGAGTGAAACTCCAGTCTTCGAATATTTATATGAAGTGATTTTGAAGCCCCATTTAATGCACCCGTTTCGCTCATTCTAAATGGGTATTACTCAGAGTTCTAAATTTTAGAATGCGGAAGATAGCCAATTTAGATTGCTTTCTGTGCTATCTAAAGGCTATGTTTGTCTCTCCTGACCTCAATATCTCTGGACACTGTTAGTGTGAGACAGACAGAAAATGGCGCTTAGTAGGAGCGGCAATCGCATGGTAAAACCATACACTTTGACTATGAAGACATACTCTGTTTTTGTTGTTGTTGACTGACGTTTCGACAACCTTAGCGGTAGTCATCTTTAGAGTCAAATGAGGAGTAAACGTCAGGTTAGCCGTATTTGTTATCTGGTTCTTACGTCATTGTATTGTGTGTACAGGAAATGTGTATTGTCATTGTGGATTAGTGTGAAGTGAAATATTTTATTTTTAGTTGTGATGTTTGATTTAGGTGTGACGTTTTTAGTTGTAATGTGTCGGTGTCAATTGTGTATTGTCATTGTGAATTAGTTTGAAGTGTAGTGTTTTTAGTTGATCGTTTGTTTGTATTGTGAATAAGTCATTTGTAAGGTGCCGGTAATTGCTGTGATCTTTTCTGGGGGGTTTGTTCCAAGTTGGTATACCAACTTTTTAATGTAAGCCGTTGTCTATAGTCAGTACTGTAAGTAATGCATTTTGTCGAATCCCAGTCAATGTTGTGCTTTGTGATTCGGTGATGTTCGGCAATGTGATTAGTTTTGTCTTGTTTCTTAGTAGCTCGTTTGTGCTCAGTAAGTCTTATGTTTAAGTTCCTGCCAGTTTCCCCGATATAGGAGTCGTGGCAGTCGGAGCAGTTTATTTTGTAAACTGCACCTTGTCGTTCGTTGGGTTGTTCTTTGTCCTTTATGTTCGTTAGTACTTTTCGTAACGTTGTGATTGGTTTATGTGCGACACGTATGTTGTATGGTCGTAAGATACGCGAGACAGTCTCAGACGTACCTTTGATGTAAGGCATCGTTGCTGTTGTCACTGAGTTGTTCGATTCGTTGGGTTCGTTGGGTTTGTAAGTGTTGCGTTTGATAAAGTCAGAGTTATAGTTGTTTTTGTCAAAAACACGTTTGAGATAGTTGTTTTCGTTTTGTAGAGCGTCCGGTGAATCACATATGATTTGTGCACGTCTTGTTAATGTTCTGATTGTGGTGGCTTTGTGTGATGTAGGGTTGTAAGATGATTGGTCTAGTAGTCAGTCAGTATGTGTTGGATTGCGTTAAACTGTTGTTCGTAGTTTTTGATTGTCATGTTTTACCAAACAGTCGAGAAAAGTAAGAGTTCCGTTTTCTTCGACATCTTTAGTAAATGGTATGTGGCTGTTCTGTTTGTTGATGTGAGTATGAAAATCATTAATGTCGTCTGCATGTAGTGCTGTGATTGTGTCATCTACGTAGCGAAACCAAAAAGGTAGTGCATATTTGGTAGTCGTAAGCGCCCGTTCATCTATAGATTGCATTACAATTTCAGCAACTACAACAGAAACGGGCGAGCCCATTGCTGTCCCATGTAATTGTTTGTAGTGTGTTCCTTAGTATTGGAAGTAAGTCGAGGTGAGGCAGAGCTCAAGTAACTCCATAATGCCTTCTGTCGGTAATGGCAGTACGTCCGTGGTGTTTGTAATGAGGGTTTTTGTACAAGTAAGTGCCAGATTAAGTGGAATACTGGTGAACAGTGATTTCACATCAAAAGACACTAGTATATATGTTATATGTTTTTTTGTCACATATATTATCAGAACATTTAAAGTTGTTGTGAAATATGAAGTGTTAAATGTTTACCATAAAATTCGTTTCATTTTATTAAAGAACTTTGTTTGCTTTAGACTGGTGAGTTAGGTGTGGCCATTCATTCCATGGATGCTTGCTTTGGTCTAACTCGTAAAAAGTTGGCAGGGAATAGTTTTGCTGTCCAAAACCATGGCTGCCTTATATTTGCTGATCAGGATGAAGTAGATGATTTTGTTGATCATTATAGCAAGTCTAATAACAAAGTAGTAGAGGTAATTATTGCATGATGAAGGACTTTGAAGCCTATTCAAAAGTATTCTGAAGGAGGGGAGTGAATAGTTTGAAAACAAACTTTATATGTAGTCCAATGAAAAGAAATGGCAAAGCCAGCACTTTTTTACTTTTACATTGCAAATATTTTTGTATTCAATCACTGGAAAAACAATGAACGGATTTGTTTTCTAAAGAAATTATTAACAATTTTGCTGACAAATTTGCATCGTAACAGTAAAAGATTGGGCAGGCTTCGCCCCTGACAAAAGTGGGTCTATGCTTCATGCAGGTCCATGGGCCCTCATACATACGTAAGTAGCTACGTGGATTTAAAATCAAAATTACAAACAGCCAATTTTTTTCTTTTCCTTTAATTTATCATGTTTATACATGGTCAATGTCTCGATTGTGTAAACTGTCATGTTTATTTTTACAGTAATAAAACAATTGTTATGTATGCGCTAATCTATAATGTGCTCCACCTTATTTTAGAGTTGTCAGATATTTAAGGCAGGAGAAGTTACAGAAGCACTTCACTCCAAAGGAAAAAATCAACTGTTTGATGAGGTTTTAGTTACATTGTAAATAAGTCAGTTTTAGTTGGATTGAACAAGTTTTTTTAAAAGGTAATATTCTTTTATTCACATATAAGCCATGCAGAATGTCTAATTCTATAATTAAAATTTCGAAGATTAAAGTCCAAAAGTAAAAACTACATTATATAGAATAATAATTTTTTTGAGGGGGGGTTCTACCTTTCACCTACACAAAGACATGCACTATTCACTGGATGGGCAAATAAGATATCATATTTGTAAAAATAACTGTAATAGTTGAGATACTTATGCATTAGTAAAATATTTATGTTTGTGCAATATGTTTTAAACGTCTTGCTATTGACTATGCATTGCAACCAGAAGAAATAGCTTTGGACAATTGAGTTAATTTCTCTTGCTGGCGTAACGCACATGTTTCTTTTATTGCAGGGGAGTAGTTACTTTATGTAGCAAGATGCCAAAGTCTAAGCAGTCTTGCTGACTTAAGTTGTTGTCAATACTTCCACATAAAGCTTTGACTTCATTAAGATTCAGAAATACTGGCACCCAAACTTTTTTCTTTTTATTTCACAACAATAATAATATTTTGAACTGCAAGAACTCCATGAGCAAATCCACAAGAATGCAACAACTCTATGCCTTCCCATATCTTAATTAATAAAGATATCCACTCGGCAAAAGCGATTCCATGAGTATAGCACAATCCTTCCAAGGACATGTACACTCCAGTTCCTACATGACCAAACAATTTTGCTATTAAAATGAATGGCTTTTTACACAATTAACACCAAAAATTAAGCCTTTCCTCAAATTATTCTTATCGTGTGCCTCTGAAATTAATGTTAATTAGGGACTGCGCTAGCTATTTTAAACCATACCATTTTCCGTATGACATTGGATAACATTTTCAATGGCGTCGATGTGGCTAATGCCAGAATAAAAGTAGACATGATTGCTATGAATTCGCTTCACCGTAGGAAAACACTTTCGTACAATGAACCCATACTCTCGAACAGATATACTCTTATATTTATTTCTCAACACTTTTAGAACATCTGAGCATTTTACGCGACATAAGCAATCTTGATGAAACATAGTTGACAACCTATAATAAAGTCATATATAACAATTAAGGACACAAGCGACTGCGTTCACGGATTCCGGTTGACAAAAAACACCACAAGTGGAGACATTCTCACCAATTTGCACGAGCTTCTCGAAAGTGAGACGGTTTACGTTTTCTTCTTGATGCATCTTTTTTCGGCATTGCTTCAACTCAAATGACATAAATGGGCTTTAATATGGACGGGCAGTACAGTATATAAGAGTATGCAACATATGTGATTAATGTCCATTGTCCATTTATAAAATAAAAACAATAGTACCCGCTCGGTGATTGGTCTATAGCCGTGTGTGCATTTGCCTGTGCAAACCGATTTCAACTCAACCAATCAAATCAATCTATTAATCAAAAAAAAATTTGCATATCGATGTAAATTTGTCTGTTTCAATTATTGTTTCGTATCATTGTATACAAGAGGTAAAACTGTTTTTTGTGTTTGCACCATTGCACTGGCTTATGCAAACTTTGAAGCCGTTTGTGGGAACTCGAGCAGATGCAATCGTGCAACCCAAGACCTTCGGTCTCCTGCTTGCACTGATCTCCTATAAAAGTTTTCCTAAAAGTCTCATTGGTTTGCATAAGCCAAATTGTATTTCTCAGATGATATATGGGTATATGTGACGTAACCGATCTAATAAATGCCCTATATTAAATTAACACCTTATACATATTAAACGCCCCACCCCTCTCCTTGCAACGCCACTTACTAATAAAGGCCCGTCCTCGATAGACACCCACCACCTTCACAAAATTACCTTTATGATATATTAATTATAGTGGTACAATTTGGCTTATAAGAAGTTTAGTTTGTCTTAGTTTTGTTTTATTTGTTCACACAAACAACTAATATACACGTCTCTCTTTTCATTTCGCTGCACCACAACATCTAGAATTGATTAAACGCCCTGGCCGTTAATAAGTTCATTTACGGTACCAACGGACACTCAAAGTAAAGCAACATATATATCATAAATGAATTCCACTTTTAACATTTCGAAATTCGAATTCCGCTGCGTCGACATTTTCACTTTACGGTGCTTTTTGTGAAATAAACAGCACCGCATAATCCAATATCATCGAGCATATGTGATTGTTACACAAAAGCATGCAGCAGCCAGTAGCAATGTTTTGTTACAGCAAATAGTTGACAGTTGTGGCTTTAAATTTTTTTAACAAATTATGTTTCAAATAAAATATTGATTTTTTTATTTAGTACAACGACCCTTATAGCATGGACCTTATAAGTCGCAGAGTATGTAGCATCTTATAACAAAAAAAAAACCCCAAAAACGATCACGTTCTTTTCTTAACATCAGAATGTTAGTTTAGATTGTGAGTGTAGGGAGGGTTGGTATTGCGTAGAGAATATTTGAAGCTCACAGCAAGAATGCGTGATACGTAATACGTGCAATGATTACGGTAGGCGTGCAACATGACAAGAGTGTTCGATCTGTAAAATGGCTTAAGTGTTCTGTGAAATGTGCAACAGTGCTCAGTAACGTAGATTAATAATTTTGAGTTTTATATTATTTCAATCCAAACACGTATTCGGTTTCATTTCTCATTTTCCTCTTACAGCGGCAGTGCCATCAAGGGTGCCGAACCAAATCGCACTCTCTCGTCAGCATCGTTTCGTTAGCTCGAACATCGGTAAAGTTAGTCATCTGTTTTGAGTTAATCTCGAGCAAAATATGAAACATGGGAAGGCTTATAACGTTAAAAAGCAAATTGGATGATTTAGACGGACAAATCATGAAATTTGGTGTTTTCAAAAACTCGCCCCAGACCCCATTGATCAACTGACCAAGCTTTGGATACGTCTCGGCTATTTTATATATGATATGAATGCTCACAATTTTAGATGAATTGGTTTGGGCAGACAGAGCTAATGGGTTGGGATTTATGTCGCATATAAACTCTTACTTGTAAGACATTGATAAATAATAAAAAACATATTTCTCTCACAATTCAACGACGGGCCAAAACTTCCGGTGTTGTACAGAAGAAGAGAAAATGACTGTGCAGTAACATGACGTCACAAAACCAAATGTTTGCATGATATCAGTTATTATACTAGATACGTGAACAACTAAATTACATAATAAGTACATAAAAAGTAGCTATTAGTTTACGAATAGTAGCTATGTCGTATTTCAATGTCACTGTCCACTTCTGAGAGCTCTTCGATGTCTTCATCTTCAGTATCGGATTCCTCATAGGGTGAGCTTTCAGATTCATTGGGAATGTTGACATCATTGGTTAAGTTGGAAAAGAAAAGTTTCTCCAAGTGGAAGCTCAAAACTTTTCTTCAAGCTGAACAACTCATTCCGCAATTTGGTTTTAAATCTTATCAGTTCATGCTTTGAACGAAGCATGAATTCATCGCTCCTCAAATCACCATGATCAGCAAGTGCTTCCTCAATTTTTGAGCTAAGATTGGTGTAATACAATAGAAGCCTTTATCTTTCCAAGTTTAAAAGTTTCTCTTCCTCGTCACATCGTTTTAGGATTAAGTACATTTCAATAGCCTTCCTCTTTGTGTATACTGGGACCGAGGCTTCCCCTAAAATGTCATCCTCACCAGACTCAAATCCCTCATAAAGGTCTGATGTAGGATCTTTCGCTTTGTCAAATGTCAGACGATCGGGTAAATGGTTTATAAAATCACTAAGAGAATCAATGGCAGCATTGTGTTTCTCAATTGTTAAATTCATCTTGTTCGTGATCTTGGTGATTTGCCTGGACAAGCGAGTGGCAATTTTCTGACCATCTAAACAAGTAAAAGGAATACAAAATTAACATTTACAAGAACAACAAAAGACAGATATGGTAACATAGCTTAGGTTACAAGTATTCGAAATTTACAGTGTATTACAGTACCTGCATACTTCTTTCTCTTTGTTTGACTTGCAATGCAACGACGTTATAATTAGGATGACCAGGTTTCCATCTTTCTTTTACAGAATGCTTTCGTTCAATATCTTTTAAAATCTTTCGAAACCTGTTTACATAAATTTTGCGCGTATGTAAAAAAAACTTTAAAGCAAAATATTGCTTTGACACATTTATACACACTGGTATAGTTCTTTCGACATCTGATCAATTGAGTAATCTTCAGATGTTATCTGATGTTTTTCTTCAAAACATCCGAATGATGTAGCACTAAGAATTTAATAATTCACCAATTAGGCTCAAAAGAAATATTAAAACGTCAATAGGCATGTATTATAGAGAAACAGCCAGTTTAGTACATTAAAAAACCTACCTTAGTTGTTTAAAATGCAGTACCTTTTGAATGTACGTCACTTTCCAGTTCTCCGTGGTTTCTTTATGTTCTGTATTTAAAAAGTACGTCTTTAAATCCTACAGACTGAATTGTTAAGAATGAAACTATTTGCCATGAATGACATTATATACCTGGGAAGACTCTTGACATAATTTCCTTCTCTCTGGCCTTCCACTGACGAACAATTTCAGGATCGTACGTCACTAACAAACAAAATAAATTCGTATTTCCTTGGATGCAAATTGAATTGAGAGTTTGGTTAGGCAAAAAGAAATCTTAAATATTTTTCGGCCACAGAAAACATAAGAAATTTCTAACCTACAACAACTACTTACCAGGTACTTCGCTAAATAAATTCTTCATTTCTTGTTGCGTTTTGATTTTATGTTGTAGACATTTTTTAAGCTTCGACGTTAATGATTTTCCTGAAACAAATCATATACAGAAAATTAAAACAATTAAGGCGCAACAAACAAACAAAAACATTTTTATTGTGTCAACACATAGTTACACATAAAGCAATGACAATATTCAAGCACCTGCATTGCTAAAATTTCTTCGAGATAAGTGAAGAAGCGCGTCTGTCAAAAGATCTACTCTTCTACTGGCAGACATCTCCTTAGTAATTGCTGAGAACCCACGAAGGTAAGCCCAGAGCCTTTCAATAGCCTCACAATCTGTAAGACCAAAACCATCGAGCCTTCTAGGACTGAACTTGACCTATTTTTTTGAAGACATGAAAAAATAATATTTTACATACGGCGGCTTTTTATCAAGGAAGAAACCAGAGCAGGAAAGATTGTCTTTCTTCAATCGCTACATCATTACCCAGGGATGTACTTTTCTGGAGGGAGGGGGTGCTCTAGTTTGGATAAGATTCTAGTGGTTGCTTGTTGCCGTAACATGCAAGACATTTTTCGTTAAATTTTGTTACTTATATACAATGATTGGAAATTTTTGAAATTGTGCTCCATAAACCCCAATTACGATCGCTTGATGGTTTGATATACATAAATTTCTTAGGGAAACTGCCACTCGTCATCCATCTCTACTAATCAAGGTTGGAGGAGAGCACATTCCTCCGTTATCTCGCCTCTTAATCCATCCCTGTCATTACCAGGTACAAAGCTTTATTCATTACCTGGCATGAAGCCTTGTGTCCATAACAATGAAATATCGGCACCGAAAATGACACTTTTGACAAAATGTCATGCCTCTTGTTTGCCTAGAACGGTACCAATTTATTCAAAGTTTAGTTGGTGAATGAACTTGTCCCACATCATACATGCCAACATTAAGATACCTTTAAATGTGATGATAATACACATCCAATATCATACATTATTTTTAAATCAACACCAGGACTTTGGTTTGGATGTGGAGGTACATGCTACACGAATTTGCCATTTACAAATTTGCATTGTTGTGACTATATACTTTGTTAAGTATTTCGACTTGTTTAATTACATTTCGTTCATTCAGTTTTAAATTAATTTAGCGTATTCATAACTTTTTTTGTCATCAGAAGATACACAAGTGCACTTAACAACATTACATTGAGAATAACCACAAAATTAGAAATTCCTGTAAATTTTCTTTTGCATTTCAACGTTGTCGCAACTGAGTATACATACGTATGTTGGCTCTCTTTTTTAATGCAACGGCATATGTTTCAGCAATTTAACTTTTTGTTATAAACATAACGAAGAACATACCCGCCGCCATCAACAAACGTCTATCATCCCTAGCATCCGACAAAGCATCATTTGACCAAATAACTGCCCCATACCAAAAAGAACTCGACGAAAACGGATACCGATACACACTAAAATTCGACTCAGACGAGAGATACCAAGTGTGGAAGTATTCACGACAAGTCTTCATATTATGCATTTAGTAGTAAGTGCATCAGTGAGATATACATTCTCACAATGCATAGTTTAATAGTAATAAAGGAAATATATTACATGCCATGTTTCGGCTTTCAGCTGAAAGATTTATCATAGTATTACCCATTTTTGTTAATATATATATATATAGGAAGTTTATATTTGATGATTTTCCGTATAAAACAGTGCTCGATGCTCGAGAGCAGAGCGTAAATATGTGTAGTGGTGTTGAGAAAAATCACAAAACTACAGATTCATCCCGACAAGCCTGTTTCGTGATTGCTCACTCTTCAGGGGATTTAATGAATAAAATACTTAAATGCTTAAAGCTTAAATGCAAGATGACGGAAGTTAGAGTATTAAATAAGGTGTATGGTTACAAATTACATAGGAGTGTTTTGCATCTATGGCGACAAGAGGAAACAAGTTCGTTGCGTTTATTAAGGAATGATTCGGATGGTTGGTAGAGGATGAAGAATTTTTCTTTGAGGCAAAGGTTGCATCTTTTACTGGGGCTGTTGTATGGTTTGCTGTGTGCGATGATGTTCCATGAGATTTCGTGGTCAATATTGCTGTCTTTAAGGGTCCAAATGTGCTTACTGAGCTCGGTAGAGTTTCGTAGATTTTTGTGGCGGAAAGAGGCAGTGTGATTTCCATGTCTAGCCTTAAATTCGTTTTCTGTAAGTCCAATGTACGTCTCAGTTGTGTTATTGTCTTTGCGTTTTACAATAGCTTGGTAAACAACGGATTACTGTAGGCAGTTTCCGTAAAGTGGGCAGTTTTGTTTTTATCGGCAGTTGCATGTTTTTGTATGTGTCTTTTTGTTCGCGGTGTTGTCGTTAGTTTTGTGTGACGTTCTCAGTATATTTTTGTTATGGTTGTTGATTATTTGTTCGATATTGTTCATGCAGCTGTAGCTGAGTTTGATGGTGTTACGGTTGAATATTTTCCTGAGTTTATGGTCTATGGGGAAGTGTTTGTCCATTAGTGAAAGGAATTTGTGGCCAATGTTCATGTAGACGTTTTTGCTAAATGGAGGGTTGTACCAAAGTATATTTTGTCGAAGTCTGTTTTTCCGTTTGGTAGTAGCGTCCGAGTCGAATTTTAGTGTGTATCGGTATCCGTTTTCGACGAGTGCTTTTTGGTATGGGGCAGTTATTTGGTCAAATGATGCTTTGTTGGATGATAGGGATGATAGACGTTTGTTGATGGCGGCGGGTATGTTCTTCGTTATGGTTGGTGGATGGTTGCTTTCGCTGTGGACGTATGGCAGAGAAGTGTTGGGTTTTGTGTAAGGTCGATATAAAAAATTGTTAAGATTGAAGGTATTGTCAAGGAAGTCGATGATTTTTTTGTTTGCTTCGATAGTTATGCGTTCTCCATTGTTGTTGAATATCCGGCATATTTCGTTTTTGATGTTCTTTGTTTCTCGAGGCAAAATCCAGTGCTTTGTTTAGTAGGTGACGAAAATGATACAATCGATAAAGTTTAAAGACGTGAACAGCACATTCCTTAATAAAATGAAAGACAACACTACTACCATGAAACACGAAACGAAGCTACTAATCGCTGCCGACAAAACAACAAATTTCTACAAACTAGACCAGCCAGCATACTACGACCTCCTTGAACAAAACATCACAAGATCATAAAAGAAATTAAATGCCGACACAATAAAAGCTATCCACACCGAAGACAAAAATATCACATCACGACTGGGTATATCTGACAGAGTAGAAGCCACTGCCAATAAAAATGCATTCAGAACACTCAAAGACCATAAACCAAACTTTACGAATAAACCAACCTGCCGACTTATCAACCCAACAAATCCGAAGTTGGTAAAATTAGCAAGAAAATACTGGACAGAATTAACAGCAACATCATAAAAACAACTTCATGCAACCAATGGAAAAAGTCATCATCTGTGATCCAGTAGTTCAAATCTATCAAACACAAAAAAAAACGTCACCTTCATATCCTTCGACATCGTAGACTTTTATCCATCCATTAATCAAGACCTACTAAACAAAGCACTGGATTTTGCCTCAACCTACTACAACATCACAAACGCCGAAATAAACATCATTATACACGCTAAGAATTCATTCCTTATACACAACGAACAACCATGGCAAAAGAAATATAACTCAACATTCGACGTCACAATGGGTAGCTTCGACGGAGCTGAGACATGCGAACTCGTTGGAAGCTACCTCCTTTCTCAACTACAAAACATCACAACAGACATAGGACTTTATCGAGACAACGGACTTGCCATTTCAAACACCACACTACGAGAAACAAAGAATATCAAAAAGGAAATATGCCGGATATTCAACAACAATGGACTACGCATAACTATCGAAGGAAACAAAAAAATCATCGACTTCCTTGACATTACCTTCAATCTTAACAATTTTTCATATTGACCTCACACAAAACCCAACACTTCTCTGCAATACGTCCACAGCGAAAGCAACCATCCACCAACCATAACGAAGAGCATACCCGCTGCCATCAACAAACGTCTATCATCCCTATCATCCGGCAAAGCATCATTTGACGAAATAACTGCCCCATACCAAAAAGCACTCGACGAAAACGGATACCGATACACACTAAAATTCGACTCAGACGCTACTACCAAACGGAAAAACAGACTTCGACAAAATATATTTTGGTACAACCCTCCATTTAGCAAAAACGTCTACACGAGCATTGGCCACAAATTCCTTTCTTTAATCGACAAACACTTCCCCATAGACCATGAACTCAGGAAAATATTCAACCGTAACACCATCAAACTCAGCTACAGCTGCATGAACAATATCGAACAAATAATCAACAACCATAACAAACATATACTGAGAACATCAGACAAAGCTAACGACAACACCGCGAACAAAAAGACACATACAAAAACATGCAAATGCCGACAAAAACAAAACTTACCACTTAACGGAAACTGCTTACAGTCATCCGTTGTTTACCAAGCTACTGTAAAACGCAAAGACAATAGCCCAACTGAGACGTACATTGGACTTACAGAAAACGAATTTCAGACTAGACATGGAAATCACACTGCCTCTTTCCGCCACAAAAAACTACGAAACTCGACCGAGCTCAGTAAGCACACTTGTACCCTTAAAGACAGCAATATTGACCACGAAATCTCATGGAACATCATCGCACACAGCAAACCATACAACAGCACCAGTAAAAGATGCAACCTATGCCTTAAAGAAAAATTCTTCATCCTCTACCAACCATCCGAATCATTCCTTAATAAACGCAACGAACTTGTTTCCTCTTGTCGCCATAGATGCAAAACACTCCTATGTAATTTGTAACCATACACCTTATTTAATACTCTAACTTCCGTCATCTTGCATTTAAGTGTTTTATTCATTAAATCCCCTGAAGAGTGAGCAATCACGAAACAGGCTTGTCAGGATGAATCTGTAGTTTTGTGATTTTTCTCAACACCACTACACATATTTACGCTCTGCTCTCGAGCATCGAGCACTGTTTTATACGGAAAATCATCAAATATAAACTTCTTATATATACATATGTATATTAACAAAAATGGGTAATACTATGATAAATCTTTCAGTTGAAAGCCGAAACATGGCATGTAATATATTTCATTTATTACTATTAAACTATGCATTGTGGGAATGTATCTCTCACTGATGCACTTGTGAACAGTGATTTCACATCAAAAGACACTTGTACATAATTGTCACGATGTTTAAAAGATGAATTTATTTGTTTTAATATCATCTTCTTTATGCGCAAGATGCAACTTTTTCATGCACAAGACTTCACTCTCGCAAAAATCTCGCGGGTTACGTTGTTTCGCGGGAAATCCCAATGGCTAAATTATGCTATTAAAAACGACGAATTTACCATTTTAATGTTGGTTTTAAAAGGTTATTTGGTAAACAAAACAGAAAACATAATTACATCTTTCTGTTTAGTAATACAGAAAGATCACAAAAGATTTTGGAAAACTCAAAATTGCTTGGAAGTACTTGCACTTTGTGCTCGTGCTTGCCCCGTAGTTTCTGATTTCTCACAAAATTTCTTGCGCGTTTCTAGAATAGCTATAACTCTATAGAAACTCGAGAGATGTTTTCTATTTCTTAATTATAATAGGCAACTTATAAGGCTACTTAGCTTTAAACGATTCTCGCGAAATTTAGAGAATAATTTAGAAAACAAATGAAGAGTAATTAAAGAAAGATATATGCCTTGAAAAATTTGCTATTTTTGTCAGGTGAATCTTCATTTCACTTAAAAAAATTAGCCATCAGATTTCTGCATTAAGTGCTTTTAACTTGATCTATGTACAATTTTCTTGTAACAACGAGCAATTTTTTCTATACTTTTATAGAGCGCTTACGATCACATTAACCATTTTGATGTAGAAGAAATCAAGGTAAAAATGCCTTACATTTAGGAAGTATGGACATGTAAATATGGGAGACCATTTAACAGTTTGATAAGAAGCAGAACCTAATTTAGATTCCATTTTTCTGCGTCTATTGTGAACATTTTATTAAAAAAAATACGATTGATTTGGTGTTTTTAGTTGTGCGATATTGATGTACTAGCCCTAACCTTATCCTAACTTCTAACCTTTTTCTTCCCAATTTTTTTTGGCCTATGAGTTTTGGATTGTTTCATTGATGCTGTTCTATGGCAACGCTGAGAGACAAAGGATTAAAAGACTGACTCCATGGCAAAATCTTTAGTTATTTTCAGTCATAGAAATGTTGGCCAAAAATTTGTTGCAACCACCCGTTTCGCTCATTCTAAATGGGTATTACTCAGAGTTCTAAATTTTAGAATGCGGAAGATAGCCAATTTAGATTGCTTTCTATGCTATCTAAAGGCTATTTTTGTCTGTCCTGACCTCAATATCTCTGGACACTGTTAGTGTAAGACAGACAGAAAATGGCCCTTAGTAGGAGCGGCAATCGCAGGGTAAAACCATACTCTTTGACTATGAAGACATACTCTGCGGCTGGGAAACTTAGTAGGAAAAATATTTCTCTCTCTCCTAATGTTGTTCTTCCAGTTCGTACGATCGATACATTTGAAGGCTTTCAAGAAAACCTTAACGAACGTACAAATAATTTACGTGGAATTGGATCTCGATATGACAGGAGGAGAGTGAATGAAAGCGAATCCTGGAAGTGTTTGTAAAATAATTTAGTAAAGTCGTACATCGAAAATTGTGCCATGTTACCAGGACAACTCTGCGTAAAATGTGTAGAAGATGGGATACCAGCAAAAAAAGCCGAAATTAGATGTCGTGATTGCGGTCACGGATAGTTCCACTGTTTTGAGTATGCGGAATCCCTTCATCGAACAAGAAATGTTTTCCAGTGGAAGGTAAGTTTAATTCTTTCTGGTGGCACAGATGAATCCCTATAAAATTTTCCTGCCAGCAAAACATAAACAAGTTAAGTCGTCTATTAGAAGGCAATTATAGGTGATTATTTCCAAAAGTCAATTCTTCAGATGAAATATTTTTGCTTTTTACATTTGGAATTTAGCTTGTTAAGCTCTAGTATTCATCAAATGCTGGCAATTTTTTACAACCATGTCTTAACTCTAAAGTAACTTAATCTGTAGTATTTTGTTAAAACTATCAATCATTTTCAAGAAGGATATGCTGCTATATGCTGTGCATGGTGCCTTATGTAATGTATACATGTTCTGATGCTTAAATAACTACTCTTTAGACTGATTGTGAAATGTTTGTTCCATTAATTTTTGGTGGTATATTACGTGAGAGTCAGCATGCTAACTGCTCTTCAACACAATCACGTACTATAATATGTGTGGATGGAAAAGGTACAGTATGGCAACAATGACAGTTATTTTGACTTTGACTACATGTAAATGTGTATATGTTAGTAATACTGTTAAGTATTAGCTTCATTTAGGCCAATAATTTCTATTTAATTATTTGCATATCAATTAATCCAATTTTAATCTCATACAAAATTTAGGTTGGCAGCATTTAAAATTGTTGAATTCTGTCAGTGTATTAAGGATGCTGAAAAACTAATTAAACTCCAGCTGTTTCCAGGCTCATCTTCTAAACCCAAAATTGCATTTCACTTTGACTTCATGGATTTTGCTGAAAATTCTTGCTCGAGCCATGTATCCTTGCACAAATTTTGCAGCACTGTTGAAATTGAATATCCTGAAATGCTACCTGACTGGTATGTATTTCTCATAAACCTGAATTGTGCACCCATATGATAGTCTACCCATCAAATAGTGGAAATAGATGGGTTGTACTTTGCAAAAATTTTATTGAATCACTGTTATTTACAAACAACATAAATAATGCGTATTTGCCTCAAATAAAGTAAGAGCACATTCAAATTGTACATGAAGTTTCCTTTGCTGTTATGACTTTGTGTATTCAACCTTATTTTATTTTTGAAACAAATGCACAAGTTTACTAGGTGTTCATTTTATTCTTGTTAAGGTCAAAAACATGTATGTGTTAAACAATGGATCATTCGATGAATACAGGAATGTTATGTGTTATAAAACAAAATTCTATTTACAGTTATTGTAGACCTAATAGTTAGATTATATGTGTAGATTAGTACAGTCTAACCTGTTTTAAGCACACACCATTGGACAACAGACTAGTGTCAGCTTAATGAAAGTGTCAGCTTGATTGAGGTTTCATCATTATACTTTCATCATTATTAGCTATATGAGATTAAGTTTTGGATTTTAGACAGTATCTGCTTAGTACAGGGTCATTTGATACAAGAGGTTTGACTGTATATATTATATCATTTAAAAATTTGATTTTTATGTCAGATCTTTTAAACACCAAGTCAGATCATTAAAGTGGCCATTCATTCCATAGATGCTTGCTTTGGTCTAACTCGCAAAAAGTTGGCAGGGAATAGTTTTGCTGTCCAAAACCATGGCTGCCTTATATTTGCTGATCAGGATGAAGTAGATGATTTTGTTGATCATTATAGCAAATCTAATAACAAAGTAGTAGAGGTAATTATTGCATGATGAAGGACTTTGAAGCCTATTCAAAAGTATTCTGTGAAGGGGGAGTGAATAGTTTGAAAACAAACTTTATATGTAGTCCAATGAAAAGAAATGACAAAGCCAGCACTTTTTTACTTTTACATTGCAAATAGTTTTGTATTCAATCACTGGAAAAACAATGAATGGATTTGATTTTGTAAAGAAATTATTAACAATTTTGCTGACAAATTTGCATCGTAACAGTAAAAGATTGGGCAGGCTTCGCCCCTGAGAAAAGTGGGTCTATGCTTCATGCAGGTCCATGGGCCCTCATACATACGTAAGTAGCTACGTGGATTTAAAATCAAAATTACAAACAGCTAATTTTTTTCTTTTCCTTTAATTTATCATGTTTATACATGGTCTATGTCTCGATTGTGTAAACTGTCATATTTATTTTTACAGTAATAAAACAATTGTTATGTATGCGCTAATGTATAATGTGCTCCACCTTATTTTAGAGTTGTCAGATATTTAAGGCAGGAGAAGTTACAGAAGCACTTCACTCCAAAGGAAAAAGTCAACTGTTTGATGAAAAAGGAGTGTTTGGTAGTTGTTGCATTAGGCATTCACACGCTGGACGATTTTTCAGCACTAAATATGGGGAAAGGTTAGTGTCTTAGCCTTTGTTTGCACGTAATTATCAATATTGTTGATCTTTGATGAGGTGGTATGGACAACAAATCGTCGGGTTATAATTTCTTTTCCTGTGTCAATTTTAAAATAAAGGGACAAAGGACAAAACGATTCTGTGCTAACGAGATCTATTATTATTCTTTAATAATATTTAGTGTCTTATTATTAATATTCAGAATTTCGTATTCGCTGTTCCTAATCCAAAGCATTTTAAAAGATGCTGACCAAAGTCCTGGTGTTGATTTAAAAATAATGTATGATATTGGATGTGTATTATCATCACATTTAAAGGTATCTTAATGTTGGCATGTATGATGTGGGACAAGTTCATTCACCAACTAAACTTTGAATAAATTGGTACCATTCTAGGCAAACAAGAGGCATGACATTTTGTCAAAAGTGTCATTTTCGGTGCCGATATTTTATTGTTATGGACACAAGGCTTCATGCCAGGTAATGAATAAAGCTTTGTACCTGGTAATGACAGGGATGGATTAAGAGGCGGGATAACGGAGGAATGTGCTCTCCTCCAACCTTGATTAGTAGAGATGGATGACGAGTGGCAGTTTCCCTAAGAAATTTATGTATATCAAACCATCAAGCGATCGTAATTGGGGTTTATGGAGCACAATTTCAAAAATTTCCAATCATTGTATATAAGTAACAAAATTTAACGAAAAATGTCTTGCATGTTACGGCAACAAGCAACCACTAGAATCTTATCCAAACTAGAGCACCCCCTCCCTCCAGAAAAGTACATCCCTGGGTAATGTTGTAGCGATTGAAGAAAGACAATCTTTCCTGCTCTGGCGTCTTCCTTGATAAAAAGCCGCCGTATGTAAAATATTATTTTTTAATGTCTTCAAAAAAACAGGTCAAGTTCAGTCCTAGAAGGCTCGATGGTTTTGGTCTTACAGATTGTGAGGCTATTGAAAGGCTCTGGGCTTACCTTCGTGGGTTCTCAGCAATTACTAAGGAGATGTCTGCCAGTAGAAGAGTAGATCTTTTGAAAGACGCGCTTCTTCACTTATCTCGAAGAAATTTTAGCAATGCAGGTGCTTGAATATTGTCATTGCTTTATGTGTAACTATATGTTGACACAATGAAAATATTTTTATTTGTTTGTTGCGCCTTAATTGTTTTAATTTTTTGTATATGATTTGTTTCAGGAAAATCATTAACGTCGAAGCTTAAAAAATGTCTACAACATAAAATCAAAACGCAACAAGAAATGAAGAATTTATTTAGCGAACTACCTGGTAAGTAGTTGTTGTGGGTTAGAAATTTCTTATGTTTTCTGTGGCCGAAAAATATTTAAGATTTCTTTTTGCCTAACCAAACTCTCAATTCAATTTGCATCCAAGGAAATACGAATTTATTTTGTTTGTTAGTGACGTACGATCCTGAAATTGTTCGTCAGTGGAAGGCCAGAGAGAAGGAAATTATGTCAAGAGTCTACCCAGGTATATAATGTCATTCATGGCAAATAGTTTCATTCTTGACAATTCAGTCTGTAGGATTTAAAGACGTACTTTTTAAATACAGAACATAAAGAAACCACGGAGAACTGGAAAGTGACGTACGTTCAAAAGGTACTGCATTTTAAACAACTAAGGTAGGTTTTTTAATGTACTAAACTGGCTGTTTCTCTATAATACATGCCTATTGACGTTTTAATATTTCTTTTGAGCCTAATTGGTGAATTATTAAATTCTTAGTGCTACATCATTCGGATGTTTTGAAGAAAAACATCAGATAACATCTGAAGATTACTCAATTGATCAGATGTCGAAAGAACTATACCAGTATTTATAAATGTGTCAAAGCAATATTTTGCTTTAAAGTTTTTTTTACATACGCGCAAAATTTATGTAAACAGGTTTCGAAAGATTTTAAAAGATATTGAACGAAAGCATTCTGTAAAAGAAAGATGGAAACCTGGTCATCCTAATTTTAACGTCGTTGCATTGCAAGTCATACAAAGAGAAAGAAGTATGCAGGTATTGTAATACACTGTAAATTTCGAATACTTGTAACCTAAGCTATGTTACCATATCTGTCTTCTGTTGTTCTTGTAAATGTTAATTTTGTATTCCTTTTACTTGTTTAGATGGTCAGAAAATTGCCAATCGCTTGTCCAGGCAAATCACCAAAATCACGAACAAGATGAATTTAACAATTGAGAAACACAATGCTGCCATTGATTCTCTTAGTGATTTTATAAACCATTTACCCGATCGTCTGACATTTGACAAAGCGAAAGATCCTACATCAGACGTTTATGAGGGATTTGAGTCTGGTGATGATGACATTCTAGGGGAAGCCTCGATCCCAGTATACACAAAGAGGAAGGCTATTGAAATGTACTTAATCCTAAAACGATGTGACGAGGAAGAGAAACTTTTAAACTTGGAAAGATAAAGGCTTCTTTTGTATTACACCAATCTTAGCTCAAAAATTGAGGAAGCACTTGCTGATCATGGTGATTTGAGGAGCGATGAATTCATGCTTGGTTCAAAGCATGAACTGATAAGATTTAAAACCAAATTGCGGAATGAGTTGTTCAGCTTGAAGAAAAGTTTTGAGCTTCCACTTGGAGAAACTTTTCTTCTCCAGGCTGAGATTGTCAACCTAACCAATGATGTCAACATTCCCAATGAATTTGAAAGCTCACCGTATGAGGAATCCGATACTGAAGATGAAAACATCGAAGAGCTCTCAGAAGTGGACAGTGATATTGAATAGACGACATAGCTACTATTCGTAAACTAATAGCTACTTTTTATGTACTTATTATGTAATTTAGTTGTTCACGCATCTAGTATAATAACTGATATCACGCAAACATTTGGTTTTTTGACGTCATGTTAGTGCACAGTCATTTTCTCTTCTTCTGAACAACACCGGAAGTTTTGGCCCGTCGTTGAATTGTAAGAGAAATATGTTTTTTATTATTTATCAATGTCTTACAAGTAAGAGTTTATATGCGACATATATCCCAAACCATTAGCTCTGTCTGCCCAAACCAATTCATCTAAAATTGTGAGCATTCATATCATATATAAAATAGCCGAGACGTATCCAAAGCTTGGTCAGTTGATCAACGGGGTCTGGGGCGAGTTTTTGAAAACACCGAATTTCATGATTTGTCCGTCTAAATCATCCAATTTGTTTTTTAACGTAATAAGCCTTCCCATGTTTCATATTTTGCTCGAGATTAACTCAAAACAGATGACTAACTTTACCGATGTTCAAGCTAACGAAACGATGCTGACGAGAGAGTGCGATTTGGTTCGGCACCCTTGATGGCACTGCCGCTGTAAGAGGAAAATGAGAAATGAAACCGAATACGTGTTTGGATTGAAATAATATAAAACTCAAAATTATTAATCTACGTTACTGAGCACTGTTGCACATTTCACAGAACACTTAAGCCATTTTACAGATCGAACACTCTTGTCATGTTGCACGCCTACCGTAATCATTGCACGTATTACGTATCACGCATTCTTGCTGTGAGCTTCAAATATTCTCTACGCAATACCAACCCTCCCTACACTCACAATCTAAACTAACATTCTGATGTTAAGAAAAGAGCATGATCGGTTTTGGGGTTTTTTTTTTATTATAAGATGCTACATACTCTGCTACTTATAAGGTCCATGCTATAAGGGTCGTTGTACTAAATAAAAAAATCAATATTTTATTTGAAACATAATTTGTTAAAAAAATTTAAAGCCACAACTGTCAACTATTTGCTGTAACAAAACATTGCTACTGGCTACTGCATGCTTTTGTGTAACAATCACATATGCTCGATGATATTGGATCATGCGGTGCTGTTTATTTCACAAAAAGCACCGTAAAGTGAAAATGTCGACGCAGCGGAATTCGAATTTCGAAATGTTAAAAGTGGAATTCATTTATGATATATATGTTGCTTTACTTTGAGTGTTCGTTGGTACCGTAAATGAACTTATTAACGGCCAGGGCGTTTAATCAATTCTAGATGTTGTGGTGCAGCGAAATGAAAAGAGAGACGTGTATATTAGTTGTTTGTGTGAACAAATATGACAAAACTAAGACAAACTAAACTTCTTATAAGCCAAATTGTACCACTATAATTAATATATCATAAAGGTAATGTTATGAAGGTGGTGGGTGTCTATCGAGGACGGGACTTTATTAGTAAGTGGCGTTGCAAGGAGAGGGGTGGGGCGTTTAATATGTATAAGGTGTTAATTTAATATAAGGCATTTATTAGATCGTTTACGTCACATATGCCCTTATATCATCTGAGAAATACAATTTGGCTTATGCAAACCAATGAGACCTTTAGGAAAACTTTTATAGGAGATCAGTGCAAGCAGGAGACCGAAGGTCTTGGGTTGCACGATTGCATCTGCTCGAGTTCCCACAAACGGCTTCAAAGTTTGCATAAGCCAGTGCAATGGTGCAAACACAAAAAACAGTTTTACCTCTTGTATACAATGATACGAAACAATAATTCGAAACAGACAAATTTACATCGATATGCAAATTTTTTTTTGATTAATAGATTGATTTGATTGGTTGAGTTGAAATCGGTTTGCACAGGCAAATGCACACACGGCTATAGACCAATCACCGAGCGGGTACTATTGTTTTTATTTTATAAATGGACAATGGACATTAATCACATATGTTGCATACTCTTATATACTGTACTGCCCGTCCATATTAAAGCCCATTTATGTCATTTGAGTTGAAGCAATGCCGAAAAAAGATGCATCAAGAAGAAAACGTAAACCGTCTCACTTTCGAGAAGCTCGTGCAAATTGGTGAGAATGTCTCCACTTGTGGTGTTTTTTGTCAACCGGAATCCGTGAACGCAGTCGCTTGTGTCCTTAATTGTTATATATGACTTTATTATAGGTTGTCAACTATGTTTCATCAAGATTGCTTATGTCGCGTAAAATGCTCAGATGTTCTAAAAGTGTTGAGAAATAAATATAAGAGTATATCTGTTCGAGAGTATGGGTTCATTGTACGAAAGTGTTTTCCTACGGTGAAGCGAATTCATAGCAATCATGTCTACTTTTATTCTGGCATTAGCCACATCGACGCCATTGAAAATGTTATCCAATGTCATACGGAAAATGGTATGGTTTAAAATAGCTAGCGCAGTCCTTAATTAACATTAATTTCAGAGGCACACGATAAGAATAATTTGAGGAAAGGCTTAATTTTTGGTGTTAATTGTATATAATATTGAGAACCATTTTTTGGTGGGGAATGATTTTCCATCTTGAGAAGAACTATCTTGGACATGGAGCAAACTTTATTTTCTTGTCTCATTTCATAGATTGCTCAACTGAGAATAAAATGCTATGTGGATTACCTGATTGCGTGAGTATCAATCGTTCGGAATTGCTACGTTCCTTATCAAAGAAGCCTACATATTCATTCCCAATTGGGAATTTTGATAGCATGGAGTTCTGTTGGTTTAGAGGAATGGCAGTTGCAGTGAGGAAATCTGAGTTTGATGTCATTGATGAAGCAAGAACTGTTCTTAGCTTACCATCTCATTCATGTTTTCCAATCTTAATTTGTATTTGTCGGGATAAAAAGCCATTCATTTTAATAGCAAAATTGTATGGTCATGTAGGAACTGGAGTGTACATGTCCTTGGAAGGATTGTGCTATACTCATGGAATCACTTTTGCCGAGTGGATATCTTTATTAATTAAGATATGGGAAGGCATAGAGTTGTTGCATTCTTGTGGATTTGCTCATGGAGGTCTTGGAGTTCAAAACATTATTGTTGTGAAACAAAAAGAAAAAAGTTTTGGTGCCAGTATTTCTGAATCTTAATGAAGTCAAAGCTTTATGTGGAAGTATTGACAACAACTTAAGTCAGCAAGACTGCTTAGACTTTGGCATCTTGCTACATAAAGTAACTACTCTCCCTGCAATAAAAGAAACATGTGCGTTACGCCAGCAAGAGAAATTAACTCAATTGTCCAAAGCTATTTCTTCTGGTTGCAATGCATAGTCAATAGCAAGACGTTTAAAACATATTGCACAAACATAAATATTTTTTACTAATGCATAAGTATCTCAATTATTACAGTTATTTTTACAAGTATGATATTTTATTTGCCCATCCAGTGAATAGTGCATGTCTTTGTGTAGGTGAAAGGTAGAACCCCCCCTCAAAAAAAATTATTATTCTATATAATGTAGTTTTTACTTTTGGGCTTTAATCTTCGAAATTTTAATTATAGAATTAAACATTCTGCATGGCTTATATGTGAATAAAAGAATATTACTTTTTAAAAAAACATGTTCAATCCAACTAAAACTGACTTGTTTACAATCTAACTAAAACTTCATCAAACAGTTGATTTTTACCTTTGGAGTGAAGTGCTTCTGTAACTTCTCCTGCCTTAAATATCTGACAACTATAAAATAAGGTGGAGCACATTATAGATTAGCGCATACATAGCAATTGTTTTATTACTGTAAAAATAAACATGACAGTTTACACAATATAGACATTGACCATGTATAAACATGATAAATTAAAGGAAAAAAAAAAATTGGCTGTTTGTAATTTTGATTTTAAATCCACGTAGTTACTTACGTATGTATGAGGGCCCATGGACCTGCATGACGCATAGACCCACTTTTCTCAGGGGCGAAGCCTGCTCAATCTTTTACTGTTACGATGCAAATTTGTCATCAAAATTGTTAATAATTTCTTTAGAAAATCAAATCCGTTCATTGTTTTTCCAGTGATTGAATACAAAACTATTTGCAATGTAAAAGTAAAAAAGTGCTGGCTTTGCCATTTCTTTTCATTGGACTACATATAAAGTTTGTTTTCAAACTATTCACTCCCCCCCCTCCCTCCCATAACACAGAATACTTTTGAATAGGCTTCAAAGTCCTTCATCATGCAATAATTACCTCTACTACTTTGTTATTAGACTTGCTATAATGATCAAAAAAATCATCTACTTCATCCTGATCAGCAAATATAAGGCAGCCATGGTTTTGGACAGCAAAACTATTATCTGCCAACTTTTTGCGAGTTAGACCAAAGCAAGCATCCATGGAATGAATGGCCACACCTAACTCCCCAGTCTAAAGCAAACAAAGCTCTTTAATAAAATGAAACGAATTTTATGGTAAACATGTAACACTTCATATTTCACAACAACTTTAAATGTTCTGATAATATATGTGACAAAAAAACATATAACATATATACTAGTGTCTTTTGATGTGAAATCACTGTTCACCAGTATTCCACTTAATCTGGCACATACTTGTACAAAAACCCTCATCACAAACACCACGGACGTACTGCCATTACCGACAGAAGACATTATGGAGTTACTGGAGCTCTACCTCACCTCGACTTACTTCCAATACAATGGAACACACTACAAACAATTACATGGGACAGCAATGGGCTCGCCCGTTTCTGTTGTAGTTGCTGAAATTGTAATGCAATCTATAGAGGAACGGGCGCTCACGACTTACAAACATGCACTACCTTTTTGGTTTCCCTACGTAGATGACACAATCACAGCACTACATGCAGACGACATTAATGATTTTCATACTCACATCAACAAACAGAACAGCCACATACAATTTACCAAAGATGTCGAAGAAAACGGAACTCTTCCTTTTCTCGACTGTTTGGTAAAACATGATAATCAAAAACTACGAACAACAGTTTATCGCAAGCCAACACATACTGACTACTAGATCAATCATCTTACAACCCTACATCACACAAAGCCACCACAATCAGAACATTAACAAGACGTGCACAAATCATATGTGATTCACCGGGCGGTCTACAAAACGAAAACAACTATCTCAAACGTGTTTTTGACAAAAACAACTATAACTCTGACTTTATCAAACGCAAAACTTACAAACCCAACGAACCCAACGAAACGAACAACTCAGTGACAACAGCAACGATACTTTACAAAAAAGGTACGTCTGAGACTATCTCGCGTATCTTACGACCCTACAACATACGTGTCGCACATAAACCAATCACAACGTTACGACAAGTACTAACGAACATAAAGGACAAAGAACAACCCAACGAACGACAAGGTGCAGTTTACAAAATAAACTGCTCCGACTGCCACGCCTCCTATATCGGGGAAAATGGCAGGAACTTAAACATAAGACTTACTGAACACAAACGAGCAAGTAAGAAACAAGACAAAACTAATCACATTGCCGAACATCACCGAATCACAAAGCACAACATTGACTGGGATTCGGCAAAATACATCACTTACAGTACTGACTATAGACAACGGCTTACATTAGAAAGTTCGTATACCAACTTGGAACAAACCCCCCTGAACAGATCACAGCAATTACCGGCACCTTACAAACGACTTATTCACAATACAAACAAACGATCAACAAAAAACTTTACACTTCAAACTAATTCACAATGACAATACACAATTGACACCCACACATTACAACTAAAAACGTCACACCTAAATCACACGTCACAACTTAGGGCCTGTTCATATGGGGTGGGATAGCCCACCTAGCCGGGATAATGACGATGTAGCGAGATCCGACCTTGTAGAGTATTTTATAGGTTTTGCATCTTGTGTTCATATGGAAAGTGAGCCAGCCCGGTTAGGTGACATCTCGGTATGAGGAAGCCGAGATCTCTGTCAAGTGGGATGAAAATATTCCATATGAACACAAATTAGTTAGCGTAGCCCAGTGAGCCGGGATAAAAACAACACTTTGGAAAACACGTGACACGAGGCACGAGTCCTATAAACAAAAATGGCGGAAAATAGTGAGCTTGCTGTGAGTAAACAGACGAAGAAAAGAGCATTTCGTTGGAATTCTGAAATGATTCACAACTTTATATCATGCTTAAATGCTTACAAATCGCGGATGGAATATCAAGCGATTAATTTTGACACGGACAGACCGGCTCAATATAAAAAATTAAGGAAAGAAATGGCTAAATTGTACGAGGTCGAAGACATTTCGTTGTTTGGTCCAGTGTCGTTAACCTCTCCAATTAATCCATCTGAACACAACGAAAAGAATAGAAAGGAGTTTTTCGCGATGCAAAAGAAGGAGAATTCTCAAATACAAAAGGGTCATCAAAGGATCCAAGAGAAAGTTAAAGAAATTCGACAAAACTTCGCAAAAGCTGTAACTGCTGGCACGAGGAGTGGAAGCGGAAAAATTGTATTTGAGTTTTACGATGAATTGGCTCGTATTTGGGGAGGATATCCCTCCACAGAACCTCTTCCTTTTGGTATCGATGCCGAAAGTTTTATTGACGAGGAAACATCAGAAAATGTTACCTTGTCAGAACCATTGGAGAATTTAACCAGTCCATCTACCCAAGATATTTGCTTAGAAAATGAAAATAACGGAGACAAAGAACCCCCAAATATTTTGAAAAGAAAAGCAGAGAGTCATGTTCCAAAATTAATCGACAACAAGCGGAAACATCTTGAAAAGACATTGTCTGCAGCCCAACGTGACAAGATGTTATTAGATGAGGCCAGAGAAGATATGAAATTCCGCAAAGATCTGGCAGCTAGTATGGAGCGTTCCACTGAATCTTTCGCCAATGCTTTGGAAGGAATAAACTCTATGATGTTGCAACTTGGCAAGAGTATATCTCAGTCAGTTGAAATGTTAGCACAAGCAATGGTACAACAGCAGTATGTGCCACAACAACAGCAATATGTGCCACAACAACAGCAGTATGTGCCACAACAACAGCAGTATGTGCCACAACAACAGCCTAGTGGTGTTAATCACAACATATTTTACCAAAACCAAAGTATGTACCAAACAATGGGGATTCCCCAACCTGTATTTCTACCAAACAACGAGACACAAAATGGAGAAGGAAATCCACAAATTCAAATGAACAACAAAGGTTTTAATAATTAATATGCACTATTTAATATTTTACAGGTCTGGTATTAAACATAAAGTTTTTTTCCTGTTTTTAAATGTCAGACTTCTGTACCAGGTAGAATGGCATGTATATAATTAGTCAATAAACGTCTGACAATTTCACCTTCTCCATTATTGCAAGAATACACATGGTCTGGGATGTTGATATTTTCTTCTTCATTTCTTTTTGCATGATCAATTTGCATGGTTACTAGGTTATCATTTATATAAGATGAGTGTTTCTCGCAATAGTTATGAGCAAGCATAAACTAATATTGGTACCTTTTCTAATTTAAGGTCAACCTTTTTTGTTAAAACTGCCCATCGTGCTTTCAGGCGGCCAAAAGCACATTCAATAGGATTCCTAGCTGATCTTAACAAATTGTTGAAAATGACTTGCTCATTATTTTCACATGAATCATATTCCTTCATACAAAAGGGGGTTAGTGAGTAGGCTGGGTCACCAATTAGATAATTCGGAACTTTCTCATACCCTTGCAAAACTGATTGAAAGACTGCTGGCAATTTTCCTTTTCGTAGTTTGTCATTTATTGATGAATTGGCAAACACTTTGGCATCATGAACACTGCCTGGCCAGCGACATTCAACATCCATGAATGTTCCTCTGTAGTCACATACTGCTTGGACGTTCAAAGAATGAAAACCATTGTAATTATGATAGTCTTGTGGATTGTTTGATGGGCAAATGATTGGTATGTGTGTGCCATCAATGCAACCAAATGCTTGTTGCATGCCAAATTTACACTCAAACTCTGCTACTTTCATTCTCATCTCATCTATGTTTTTTGGAAGATATACATAACTAGGGCCTAGCAATGTTACAATAGCTTTGCATGTTTCAAATACTATGTCTGATGTTGTATTTAATCCAATACCAAAAGCATTCGCCGTCATACGTAGAGAACCGCTGTCTTTCAAGAAGTATAACGTAACTGCTAATTTCTTTTCGGCACTTATAGCCCTTTTGTTTGGACCATTTAGATTTGGAGCAATTGATTGATGCAACACTTCGGTTAGTTCTGTAAAGGCTTCCTTGGACATTCGAAAGTTCTTTTTCCATGTCTCCTGGGGGGCTATACCATACAGCATGTTTTGCCACCATTGATCAGTACGGCCAGGCTTGAACCAGCAACTTCGCTTGGCACGTCGTATTCTTCTTTCTTTCAATCTCTTCAGTCTATTAAGGAAATAGCTCTGCCTTTGAAGATTAGCTCCACAAATTACTTCATGTTGCCGCTTTTCGTTCAATTTGTGAAGCAAAATCAAACCGCACAATTCAATAAACAAAGCTGTGAGAGATATCAATTGAGTGCAAAGGAAGAGCAATAGCTTGTTTTTGTTCGTCATTTTGAATTATTCGCGCGTTTTAGAGGCTTGGTCCCAGTCTTCAACGAGTGCTTGCTCGGTAAAAGCGGGCTTGTTAGCGGGATAGTTTTTGGGACGGTCTCATATAAAACGAATTTAACACTCAACTCAACAAGCATAGCCATCCCGGCTAGGTGGGCTATCCCACCCCATATGAACAGGCCATAAAAATAAAATATTTCACTTCACACTAATCCACAATGACAATACACATTTCCTGTACACACAATACAATGACGTAAGAACCAGATAACAAATACGGCTAACCCGACATTTACTCCTCATTTGACTCTGAAGATGACTACCGCTAAGGTTGTCAAAACGTCGGTCAACAACAACAAAAACAGAGTATGTCTTCATAGTCAAAGAGTATGGTTTTACCATGCGATTGCCGCTCCTACTAAGCGCCATTTTCTGTCTGTCTCACACTAACAGTGTCCAGAGATATTGAGGTCAGGAGAGACAAACATAGCCTTTAGATAGCACAGAAAGCAATCTAAATTGGCTATCTTCCGCATTCTAAAATTTAGAACTCTGAGTAATACCCATTTAGAATGAGCGAAACGGGTGCATTAAATGGGGCTTCAAAATCACTTCATATAAATATTCGAAGACTGGAGTTTCACTCAACTAATTGCTTGATTTAAAAGATCCAGGGAGAATATCTTGCCAGAGATGAAGAAATGACTTTGTCAATGATTATGTGAATTGTATGTCGCATTCAATGAGTGTGAGTGAGCTTTTAGTGTACGGGCTAAAATTTTCTCTCCATACAGCTCGAAAACATAGCGAAAACTTTAAAATAACATTGCAAAACACTGCCCGTCTCCAGCATTTTTCTGTGCGACTACAATTGAAAGTGGTGTCTGTCTGATTATTTTCCATTCTGCGAGGAAGCCTCATTTTTATAAAGTGAACCGACCTTCAGCACTTTTTAATTCATTACTTCAGATGATATTTACATCAATTTACCTTCACAAAAGACTCCAGTGTAATCTGAACTGCAGGTGCCCGTTCCACGAACACAATGTCCATTGTAAAAGCAATCGTCGTCCGTTTTACAATCAGAGGGCCACAGGTTTGTCAGCTTTTCAGCTGTTACGTGTCCCCCTCTTCAAATAAAGTCCTTATTATTATTATTATATCTAAGGAAAAACGTACTTTTTTAATAATATTTGCTAAAATTTGGTAAACCAACAAACTTCAATTAAGGTGGTTAGTGTTATAAATAGAGCAGTTATATCAAACCTTCGTGTTAGCAGTCTTAGCCATCGTTGCGCATCGCCGAATGGGATACAAGTTTAACTATATACATACGGCAGGAAGTATCGCAAAATATGCTCAGTAATAACACAGTCTTTAAAAGTTTGAAACAGCCATAAATGATGCAAAGAAATAGAGCATAGCCTTATTTTGTTGATGAAACTCAATTTTTAGGTTTGTTTAGCAAGTGGATAAAGCATTTATAAGTGTATTGTTGATTTCCTAATGAGAAAATGGCGAGCTAAAATCGTTTTAGGTGTATGCAGAAATAATTCTGCCTTAAAATAAACTTTATCGCAGATTTCTAAGAACTTGAAATAAATTTAAGGATTGAAATATTGCTACACGGATGTGATAAGTTTCTTCGTTTTTTAAATGGTTCTCTAATGTGCATGATTATTATACGCCCATGTCAATATGGCTGATAAAAAGATTTTGTTTAAACAACGAAACATTGCATGCCAACAAATAGCGTGTAGAGTATGTTGTGTTTGCTCTTTATTTTGTAAGTACCGTGTTCTTCAAAAGTATTCTTCTTTGCGCATGCAAATTTTTTAAAAACTAATCTTGATATCACGCGCTGTATCTCACAAGACTTTCTATTTCCTGAACAGCAACTCATAGAATTTCAAACTTTGACTTCAGATAAGTCACATTTAATTTTCTAATTATAGCTCCTCAATTTTAAACTCAAATTACATTCAGAAAAACACTTTGGGTTTTTAAATTCTAAAGAATATATATTTTCACCAATGGATTAGCCTATAAGGTGTTTCGAAACGTAAATATACGCCAAAATGTGCTGTAGTAATTTATTTTGACGTAGTCTGGATCCGCCACTGAGGACTGATACTTTTATTATTGCTTTCTGTTTTGACCAATGTAACCATGTCCTTTGCGTAGTCAAATGCAAAGCTTGCATTTGTCTAGTATCCTGAGCTGTCTAGATATGACTATTTTCATGACATGTTTGCAAGGTTTTGTGAAGACTGTGCCTCCGATGATTCGCGAGTCAATTGCAATTTGCAAATACGCACGGATTTAATTAGTATAACCAGTGAATTTTCATTTTTGTTGTCTGGGGATTGGCCTTCGCTATCTTGTGGTTTTTGTGCTTACTATGTGCTTACTTATGTGAACCACGTACGCGAACTAGGGCTGGGGCGCTTAGATTTGTGTATACTCCTTCTCAAACAGTGAAGTGCGCCAGAGCCGGTGCGATTTTTTTTTCGGGACCCATGTATACACAGTACGAAGTACTGTGAAGAACTAGGGCGGGGGCGCTCAGATTTATGTACGCAGCCTCTCAGACCGGGGTTGCGCGAGAACCGGTAGTCTCTTTACTACTAATACAAGATTGTGTTTTTAATATTTCTACTCTCCTTTTTCTCTATTTATGGTTTTTCTAATGACAAAGTGCACAATTTGAATCATTAATACAGTTTTCACTTCAATAATAAATCTCATATACCAATAATAACCTTTAATAAGACCCATTTGCTTTTCGATTTTTTCGCTTTGATTATTCAACATACGGAGTTGTTCATACAAAAATGATGTAGTACATGTAGACTAGACAGACATATGAAAGTTTGGCAAAAAGAAACAAATGAGTTTTTATACATTTATGCTAGAAGCTTAAATGCTTTTCAGAAGTTAATAAATTGTACTACCTGTATCTCATCCATATCATGAACAGACTTGATCAAAAAATTGAAGAAACACTTGGAAAAGTCAAAAAATTTTCCAGTTTTTAAAAAAGCAGGAAATGAAGCAAATGACACATGTCCATTCTAATAAGCAAAAAGGCGAAAATGTTTTTTTAAGGGAAATAACTAAAATTAACAAGAACTATTTAGTACTAAAACTTTTATGTTTTCACCACTGAATCTTAAGTGCTTCAATATAGCTTGCCTTGGATATTATAAACATTAAAAGAACACTCTACTGAAAAGTTTTGATAAATATATGACATGATTTTACCATTTAGTTATAAGAAAGTGCGTCATCAATAATCAATCTCAGTCTTAATATCTACATAAACAAACTTAATGACCATTTTACAGTTTTGTTAAGTGACACTGCATTAAGCATCCAAGCAGACACAACTAACTTGCCTTGCCATCTTTCTTTGCACCTTTACTTAACTTTCAAATCATTAAAGGAATCCTTGGTAAATCAATTGTGTCCATAAAATTAGACATTATCAAACAACTCTTGAAATAGTGTTGATACTGCATCATATTCCAGAAACACTTTGCTACCTGATCATTCCTTCCTGTTGTCTGTAAGTAAATCAGAACAGCTTCTGCTCCATTTTATGATTACTGTATGGGGCATTTCTTCACGTTATATATCCACTAAGCGGGAGACTTTTTTTCTCACCTGCGAAAGCGAGATGTTTCATTTTGTGCACATCGCGACATCCATAAAAGAAATGCCAAAAATATATCGCGTTTGTTTTTAAAAAATTATATATAATTTACTATAGACATAAGGGGGAGGACGAGAGTAATTTTGTTCTGCAAAGCGAACATTTTAGGGGAAATAGGCCAATTGACATCCATGTTTTTGATAACATCGCCCCAGTTCATATAGCCCTTTCGGTGTATTATAGAGCTTAAGAGTCCCACTCTAATAGAAAATCTGTAAAATCGGTACCAGTCTTAGTTGCGCGGCCAAATTAATGGCAGCCAGTAAATAGTAGCAAGTTGACTATGTTCTATTACTAAATGCGTTAATCGATATATCGACATTGGTTGGTTAAAGGATTTTCTCATAATCACGCGTGACCTGTGTAATCTCACAACATGACTAGGGTAATTAAGGATCACCTGCTCGGTAGACTGCTGGGATTACTCTAGCTCTGTGTAAAGATGCCCTGACTTTCGGTATCCCGAATAATAACTGCGTCAACTACAGCAGTCGACCAAAATCAGAAAAAATAAAAGAAATTTATTTTCGTCTTTTTAAATGCTAATGAATTTATTACAAAGTCATCACTAGAAAATGAAAAATTCAGAAGAAAAATAATCCAAAGCCCTATTTAGTAAAAACTTCCACTTTCATACAAGTGTGTCCATGATTGTCGCTTTCGGTATGACCTGAAAGATCTTCTCCGTACCAGAACCTAAATACCTGACCATGATACATATATTGATAACCAGGAAGAGCGAAGACGAGTAAACCGGAATTCTCGTTGTATCCAGGCATTTCGTACCAGTTACCTCTGACAGGTTTAACCAAAAGAGGTGAGGGGAAAATGCGTTTATTTCTATTGTCTGTAGAAAATCAAAATAAAACACGTTAAATGCGTTGATTGATTGATTATGGCGAGACATTTTATTTTTTTGCAACCAAGTAAAACTACCATGTGAAGCGTTCTGTAGATGAACTTTTTACTCTAGACATACAGTAAAACCTTATCAAGTTATTATATCAGCCAACTTTTCTTCGTATCACCGTTGGTGACCCCTCCAATATATCATGAAACATACATCTTGGTAAGGGCGAATTCTTATAGGGAGTATCAGCTGTCGCTTTTCTGGTATATTATGCATACTTTGCAAGCGTAACTTACGGTACGTAACTACTTATACAATACGTAACAATAAATAGTGTAACTACTTATTGCAGTAAAAATTTGCATGTCTATAGTTGACTTAATGCGCTGATTGCTAAAGAATTTTAATATTTTTTCCACCTGTGACAATCATGTTGAGTGTTCTTCTGTTATCACCATATCTACAACCCCAGTTCGTTCTGGAACCCGAACGACATCCAATTTTACCACTAAGATGTGTCAATTTCATTGCAATGACGAATGAATTTCCCCTCAATGTAATCGACCGAAAATGATTGTTCCTGGCACCAACGCAAATTCTTGGAGTAACTTGTTTCCATCCTATTAAACGAGTGTTTTATACTAATAAGATAATTTTCTATAAATGCCCACCAATAACTTTCCTTTATGCAGTCGAATTCAATCGCGTCAACGACTTATATCAAATTCAGGTTTGGTTTCATTAAAATCTCAAATGGAAATTTGTGTTGTATGGCAAAAACTATCATATATATAAAGCCAATGTCTATCATCAACATTTAAGAAATAAAGAAAAAATTCTTGCACTTTAATTTTTTTAAGTACTTTAATCTGAAGCTATTCGTTAAGAAATGCAGTAGATTTGCACGACCGTACAACCATATGACTTTTCTTCAAGATCGATTCTGTAAAGCGGGACATAAAAGAATAGTCTTTTTATTTTTAGCAACGTACCTGCAAATGCCAGGGTTATGGAGAATGCCAAAAAGATGATCAAGCTTTTGAAGTGCATGTTTACGCTGTTAAAATAAGAAGTTTGAATTTATATTAAAATTGAAGTCGTATAAAATGAGTAGCTAGATAATTCTAAAGGAAATCGACTAAACAAATGTGGAATCTTTAAAATTAATTGAGAGATGCTCTATATTCTTTCAGGTTTTCTAGGTAAACACATAACCAACCATAACTCATTCAGGAGTAAAGACTACAATTTTCCACTGTAGACCAAAGAATTACACAAGTTTACCTTATAAGGACGACTTTGTGAATGCTATCATGCAAAACCTTTCGTAGATACTTCTTCTTGCCTTGTCCCGCTTCGACTGAAATTTCTTTGCAGATGCTGTTATTTGTAGACTGGCAACTGAATATTTAAAATTATGTATTACTTATGATAAATAAATTTTCTTTGTGATGAAAGACTCAACAAAGACTTTTCTCTAGTCAAGTACTCTTTTTTCCATAAGGAATTCTTGACTTTGGTTTATATCCGCCACTAGAAATGTCACTTTAATGTCTCAATGAGACAAAGCACGGATACACAAAGAATTAATAATATTTTAGATGTAAAGCAAGAAGATGTTATTGCTGTTACTTATTGTTTCCATTCTTCTTGATTACGGGGGAAACAACATAAACTTTGAATAATAATAATAGCAGTATATAACTAACTATGTTGACATTTGACATGTGAGACGGCATGTGCTTACTTTAATTTGGGTAAATTCGGGCAAATCAAATACCACGTACGTTAAAAATTATAGTTTCTCATGTGAAAAATAACGAGACAGAACTACTCAGAAACCAGATTTACTACACGAAAATTTTTTTTTTTCAATTCTCATTAAAAAACCGGGACTCCATTTACGGAGCGCGCAAAGAAAGCTGCTAGTTCTAGACTGTTTGCAAAGAACTCCAGATTCTCGTCCGGAGTATCCTTGAGTTAAAAATATAAGGTCATTATGGCGATGCGCATGTACAAGGTGAAATCCCGAAATTTTCTACAAAAGTTGGAGTATGATCTATAACTTTCTGTATTACTATATAACTACTAATTAACCATTCCATGTGATTCTCTTACACTTGTCTATAAAATGGCCTGTATTAAAACGTAAGATGCTGAATTGAGCCCACTTATTTATCCTCCATCGTGTCTTGAAACGTCCCCTCAACAATAAGTTCATTTCGAATTTACTTTTGATGTCAAAAGTTGATCTTCCATCTCCATTTTTGCACGTCATGTGAAATAAACGTTTCAGCCAAAATGAGGTAAATGGGGGCAAAAATTCAAAGAAGATAAAAACATTAATGAATATAATACTAAGCTAATTTCAATTGCAGGCGTGTGCTAATGAGCATATTATCATCACAGTACATGCAAGTGCCAATTGTGGTATTTGATATTGCTTAATACGTACATCCTTCCTTAGATAACTACTTGACTTTTCAAAGATTAGCTATAAGCATGTTGTTTTATAGCAAACAGGGGAAACTATCCTTGTTTTAAAATTCATAGTTAACGTTCTGTTATATTTAACTGAGTTACGCTTGAAAGTCTGGATTTATATTCGTCTGTAAGAATAATTACAATAATACACTATATCTACTTATTGCTGCTACTTATTGTTTCCATTCTTGATTACGGGGGAAACAACAGAAACTTTGAATAATAATATCAGTATGTAATTAACTATGTTGATATTTGACATTTGAGACAGCATGTGCCTACTTTAATTTGGGTAAATTAGGGCAAATCAAATACCACGTACGTTAAAAATTATTGTTTTTTTTATGGAAAAATAGTGAGACGGAATTACTAAAAAACAATATTCACTACACGAACATTAATTATTTTTCAATTCTCGGTAAAAACCTGTACTCCATTTACGGAGCGCGCAAAGAAAGCTGCTAGTTATTCGACTAAAATTTCTTTGCAGATGCTGTTATTTGTAGACTGGCAACTGATTAATTTAAATTATGTGTTACTTATGAAAAATAAGTTTACTTTCTGAGCAGACTCTAAAAGAAGTTTTCTAATATTACTCTTATATATATTCATCACATACATAATATTCCTTATAATACTGAAGATGGCATCATGAGATGTTGAAACGTGTTTATTTAAAAAAACTTGTCGTTTTTATTAAATGCGCAAACACTTTTCTCTAGTCAAGTACTTTGTTTGTCATAAGGACTTCTTGACTTTGGTTTATATCCGCCACTAGAAATGCTACGTTAATGTCTCAACGAGACAACGCACGGATACACAAAGAATTAATAATAGTTTAGATGTAAAGCAAGAATGTAAATTTTAGAAGTTTACAAAAAAAATTTGAAGCAGAGTTAGTTTATGAAAACTATTAAAAAAATAGTATAGTTTTTTTCGCTTGTTTAGAATAATTTACTCTATCTACTTATTGCTGCTACTTAATGTTTCCATTCTTTTTTATTACGGGGGAAACAACATAAACTTTGAATAACATGAATAAATTATAATTAATTATGTTGACAATTGGCATGTGAGACGGCATGTGCTTACTTTAATTTGGGTAAATTCGGGCAAATTAAATACCACGTACGTTAAAAATTATAGTTATTCTTCTGGAAAAATAACGAGACGGAATTACTCAAAAACCAGATTCACTACACGAACATTAATTATTTTTTAAATTCTCATTAAAAACTGGGACTCCATTTACGGAGCGCGCGTAGAAAGCTGCTAGCTCTAGACCGTTTGCAAAGACCTCCAGATCCTCGTACGGAGTATCCGTAAGTCAAAAAGATAAGGTGTTAATGGCGATGTGCATGTACATGGTGAAATCCCGAAATTTTACAATTTCAATTTTCTTGACAATATACAAAAGTTGGAGTATGATCTATAACTTTCTGTATTAATATGTAACTCTTAGTTAATCATTCCATGTGATTCTCTTACATTTGTCTATAAAATAGCCTTTATTAAAACTTAAGATGCTGAATTGAGCCCACTTATTTGTCCTCCATCGTGTCCTGAAACATCCCGTCAACAATAAGTTCATTTCGAGTTTACTTTTGATTTCAAAATCTGATCTTGCATGTCGATTTTTGCACGTCATGTGAAATAAACCTTTTAGCCAAAATGAGGTAAATGGGGACAAAAATTCAAAGAAGATAAAAACATTAATGAATATAAAACTAAGCTAATTTCAATTGCAGGCGTGTGCTAATGAGCATATTATCATCACAGTAGATGCAAGTGCCAATTGTGGTATTTGATATTGTTTAATACGTACATCCTTCCTTAGATAACTACTTGACTTTTCAGTGATTCGCTATAAGCATTTTTTTTATAGCAAACAGGGGAAACTATCCTTGGTTTGAAATTCATCGTTAACGTTCTGTTATATTTAACTGAGGTGCGCTTGCAAGCCTGGATTAATATTCGTCAGTAAAGACTTTGTCTTTTTTTCTACTTAAGAGTTTTGCCAATATTTCTTATACACCTAATGGGAACCTAAATTTTGAAGAAAAGACTTTTTATTCCTTTTGGACTTGCAGTGGCTTTAGTACTCTTTCAATTTCTGAGCAACATAAGTTCATTTGTAAGCTAAGTTAGAGCTTATGTCATGAAATGATGGACGTTTTTAATATACAAGAGGCTTAAATTAGTCGTGTTTTTGAAAGCATTTTAATGATGACTCGATTTTCCTGTTTTCTTGAGTGCTTTTATAAAGAGGGCAAGAATCTCAAAGAGGAGAAATACACGTCCTGATGAGATGCAGGGAGTCCTATATGGCACAACGAACAACATTGTTATATCAGATAAAATAATTCTATGCACGCAAATAAATGGTAAAGATGCGATTTCTATTTACGATGTATAGCTGTACGTGTACAACAAATCGTTGACATCGAAAAACATAAGACAAACTATAGCTTTGGTTGGTATTATGGTCAATTGCTGAGCTGTTAAGATTAATATTCAGCGAAACCTGATATTTAAGAAGATGTAGGGCTTGTTTATGTAGTTATACTTTCACAGGCTCGGAAAACGAAAAATGCTGCAAGGGAAAGTAAATGTCAATATGAGCAAAATTGAGTACACACTGGAATTGTTTCTTAATTCTTATGGCAATGCATACAAGGCAAAATACCAAAACTTTACTATTTCGATAATTTTGGCAGTATTAGTTCATTTGTATATTTAAAGCTGATCTTGGAGCCTATGTGATGTAATTTGATAAACATTTAAGCCACAAGTACACAAATTTAACAGCATACAATGATTACTTATTGCCAGAATTTGAAGGAATTTCTTGCTTCGTTGAATATACATTTTCAACTCACAATGTTCTGCCAATTTTTACCAGACCAACATTAAAAGTTTAAACAGCTTTTAATCATAAAATTTTAAGGGGGAAATACAGAGTTAATGTTAAATCAATATCAACCACGTGTCTTCGCTGTTATTTCATGCATACCCTACGTTATGGAGGTTTACGCAATATTCGAAGATTCCACACGCAAAAGCATGAGTAGAAAATCTTTATGAATTTCAAAACTGGTTTGAGTTCCATCGTATTTTTGCAACACTGAAAGATTCTTCTGTAAAAGAAAATGTCGACTTTTCTCAGTGTTGCTTGTATTTGTTTAGTTGAAGACGTTAAACTTGTTAACTTATTGCTTATGTTTGTAAGTCATACCATTTCAATACCTTTTGAAGAAAGAGATTTGATCTGCAATATCGATCTTTCGTGCTTCGATGGTTTGATTTCACTTTTTCATTTTAACATAAGGATTAATACTTGTTTTATTTATTATCGTTTTAACGCATGGGAACCGTGTCGTTTCTGGAATCAAATACGGCAATATGGTTGGTATTGAGAAAAACTGCAAGAATTAACTTACATTTTTGTAAACGGAATCTATCCGATAAATTACTAAATGCGGTAACGCCAACCAACTATGTTACAAGACTAAACATTGGAATTAAACCAATATAGAATGCACTATAACCAAGTTGCTTTAAACAAATGAACACAAAATCCTCTGCGGTGTTAGCACTTGCACGACAGACAAAAAATCTACCGATAAAATGAATCCATTTGCAGTAAACAAAGACAATTTCAATGTTTTAATGTACCATTCTTATTGGCGTAGGAAGAACTAGGTTTGTTCAAAACAAGAGACAGCAATAATTAAGACACGCTTGAATGTAATAGCCCAATTTATTCCATTTGAAACAGATGCAAAATGTTTTGGTCGTGTTCAACAATTGTCGAATTAGTCAAATTGGATAAGATTATTTGCTTCTTTTCTGAAGGTTAATCATCTAATTTATATTTGCGAAAGTTGGCAGTTGAAATAAAACATGAGAGTCTGTGT